GACATTGTTCAGGGCTCCCCGCATTGGCCCCCACTCCTCCTTTCATCAGGAACAGGACATATGGATATTCCAATCATTTTAATATGGAAACTTCGCTTTCGTTTTTCTTACCTTTGTCACCCTTGAAGGATGACATGCCAATATTTTTCTCGCTTCCTAAGAAGATCTGAAGATTACAGGTGTCCCTGCCCTTGGGGAAAGCAGAAAGGTTTCTTTGGTGGCTGGTGCTCTGGGCCTTGCCAAAGGTACCGTGAACGAGCGAGAAGGGTGGTGAGGTTTGGAAGAGGCTGTGTTTACAGAAGCAGAACTTCCTTAAGAGGGTGGGGAGGAGGGGGCGCCTGGGTGGCTCAGTGGGTTGAGCGTCTGACTTTGGCTCAGGTCATGATCTCCCGGTTCGTGAGTCTGAGCTCCGCGTCGGGCTAGCTGCTGTCAGCACAGAGCCACTTTGGATCCTCTGTCTCCCTCTCTCTGCCCCAAACCCTGCTCACGCCCTCTCAAAAATAAAAATAAAAATAAAAATAAAAATAAAAATAAAAAGAAGTAACAGCCCCCAGACCTCAAGGACCCTGCAGAAACAGTGTATGCATTAATGACAATAAGGGCCCCACCCCAGATGCCTTTGGTACTATAGACAGCCTGGGGCGGGACAGTGGGGACCCAGAAGAAATAAGGTTGGATATCCCTGCCAGCTCAACAAGGTGGGGACTCAGAATAAAGATTAAGGTGGTTTTTAGAGAAGTTTTAGAGAATGAAAGAATAAGGAAATGGACATTTCTGGCACCCCTGGGTGTGGGAACTGACATTTACGTTTGCTGTATCTCCTGTTCCTTACGTCCAGCCAGGCTGGTCTGGCCTTTCTGTCCGGATCGGGGTTCGTTCCGTGTCCCCTCCTCCATTACTTCCAAGGGCCACTCAGGTGAGGCACCGCGTCACTTCCTGTCCCCCAAAGGCATCTCCCTCCCTCCTCGGAAGCTTGAAGCTCATGGTGTCACCCATTTAACGGACGGGTATGGTGAGTTCTCTGGCTATGCTGGCACTTGGCTCCCCAACTGGGCCAGGAGCTCCGTGAAGGTAGAGACAGGACCTTTTCTCCCAACTCTGGGCTGATCGTTGGAGCCCCTGCCCCGTCGAGCGACCCACGGGCCCAGGGCTTGGACCCTTCCGCGGAGGCGCCCTTCCTTTGTCAGCCTTTCCTCGCCTCATCCACGCTAGAGCACTTGGCTGCCACATTTGCCGACACCCTGTGTGGACACCAAGTCCCCTCTGTCTGTAATACCCAGGCCGCCTCTGGGGGGACCCTGTTACCCAACCAGCAAGTGGGTGTCGTGGTGTCCCCTCCCAGGACAAGCCTTGCCTACCTACGTCCTACTCCACCCGCCATAGATGGGCAGATTTTGCTAGAGTCTGCTCTTGACGAATGACCCCATCCTGTGTTAGGAGCCTCTGAGCTCCGCGAATACCAGGAGCACAGCAGATGTAAACACTGGCGGCCTCTCTTCCCCCGCTACATAAACTTCGGGCTTTCAGGACGAGGCACTACCCCAGCACACTCACGGTGTTTAAAAAAAGTGTCAGCTCCAGCCCTGGCTCGTGGCGGAGGCCAGCTCTCCCCCTCCCAGATTCTGGGCCACTGATGAAGCGGCCAGGGCGGCAGAGCTCATCTCCTAAAGGGAGGTGGCTTTAGCGGACCCTCTGGCTCATGGACAAAGGGCGGCTCTCTGTGAGGAATACATCCTTGAAGCCTTTGAAGACCCCAATGTCCTCCAAAAGTCCTGCCTCACCTACGAGGACACGTCGTTTTCGTTTAAAATTCAGATCCTGTGAAAATAAGAACGCTACTCCCTTCCCGCCTGACACGGTGGTATTTTAAACTTCTTTTCAGGATTAGTCATTCATCAATCCCCCCGACATTTGTTGAGCATCCACTCGGTACTGACTGCCAGGCGTTATACGGCCCCCTCCACTCAAAGCTGCCTCCAATCCCACATTGGCCTTCGTCCCGTTAGTTTCAGGCGTTCATACCTGTCTGTATGTGCTAGATATCGATAGATAGATGATATGATTCCTCATCCCTCACTCCTGAGTCATGTTTTAAATCTTACCCATTGTTTTCATCCGACTAACATTCATAGGGTCTCTGTGACGTGCTGGCCACTCTCCTAGACACTGGCATCAGGCACAATCCAGGCCGTGAGGACCTCGCCACCCATGTGACGGGGAGGTGACCAGGGAGGTGGCTGCGATAGGCCTTGAGAGAAAGGAGGCAGGCGGGTCAGTAAAGGCTGTGCCAGACCGAGGCAATCAGGGATGGGGACCCACCTCACGGGCAATGGGGCCTGGGGCAAGTCTTCCCCTCTTGGGGCTCCCAGCCTCGTCGCCCAATGAGGAACTAGATCGGGGATCCTCTTTGAGTTTCATGGACCAAGAAGAATATCAAAAACCTGACTGATGGAACCATAGAGGTCACCAACATTTTATCCCACCGAGTAAGGAATTTTAGAGAAAAAGGGAAGCCAGCCTCACAACGGCCACCTGCCGTCACGTTATTTCATAAAAGAAAAGACACGTTAGCCCCCAGAGAGGAACGGTTAGTCTCGGAATGAAGGCTGGGCTTGCACACCAGATTCACTCGGTTGAATAAAAAGCTTACCGTGTTGTCATCGCTGCCTCACCCTGCCCTGTCCAGGCGAACTGCCTAGATGACCCATGGCACTAATGTCCCGGGATGCTGCGTGTGACCTGCTGAAGCCATGACCAAATGGCCGAAGCCCAGCACAGCTTCCAGACCTGTGGTCAGAAGACGTCTAACGGCGTCTCTCAAACACTGTCGAAGCTGCGTCCAACCCACATCGCTTCCTGAAACCCCCTTTTCTCTCCCCGAAGCTGTCCCACCTCCTTCTCCTCCAGATCGGCTAGAAAGCATTTCCTTTCCCACCTCTAGCCTTCAAGCCTCCAGCCTGGGGCCAGGTAGAACAAATCCTGAGGAGCACCCGTGAGCACACCCCCCACCCCCATGTCACGGGAGAGGCTGCTGTTCTGCCACGGTGCTTCCCAGACCCCCTTCGAGCCCCTGGCAGGCTCTCATCAGCCGTCACCCACTTCGGCCGTTGTCTCAGCTGCAGAGAGCTGCCTTGTCCAAGGTCACGCCCCTTCTTGGGGCAGCCCCCAGGCAGCCATGGATGGATGGCCACCTCTGCCCAACACAAGGCAATGCCAAAAGGCCACTCCAGTTCAGAGCCACCTGCCCTGCGGGGCTGTCCCAGGCTGTCATCTAACACATCTCAGCTCAACTCCTCCTCCTCCCGCTGCTTCTCCCCTCCCCTCCGTCCCCCAGGCATCGATCCCAAAGAGCTTCTTGATAAACACCCTGCCCTCTAAAGTCAGAAGTGGAGTCGCTCACCAGGGTCCCCGACCTGTGCCATCAGCTCAGCCCATCGGCCAGAACCAATGGGCAGCCTTTCCCCCTCCACTTCTGGGTGGAGAGAACTTCCCGCACACAAACGTCCGTGAGCAAACTGGAGTCTCCCTGTGTCCACAGGAGCCAAAGAACCTTGGGTCTCTCTTCCTCTTTTAACAAAGCCTAGCCTTCCAGACCTTTGTCTGGCGATGGGCTGGTCAGGCCGCTCTGAGCAGCAAGCACACATTGCAAAGCTCCCTCCCTCTGTCCCTCTCCCCGGCTCATGAGTGTTTTCTCTCTCTCTGTCTGTCTCTCTCTCTGTCTCTCTCTCTCTCTGTCTCTCTCTCTCTCTCTCCCTAAAATTCAAAAACAATTTAAGCCCCAAAGTTGAGTGAATTCTGCTGCTACTGCTGCTAAGAGGGATCAAAGGCAGAGGCCCGTCAGCAAGGGACAGACGTCCAGAGGTGGTGGCCCGCTCCAGAGAGGGAACAGACCTCTGCCCCATGGCCTGGCTATGGCTGGAGCCACTTGGGTCTGGAGCGGAGCCTGGGAGGGTCCCCAAGTGCAAGGCTGGATAGTCTGGAGACCATACACACACGCACACACACGCACACACACGCACACACACACAGCAGGGCCACCACGGCTGGCGATCGAGAGCCCTCCTCTGCTTTAATGTGGGACGCGCCCTGCCCTGCTGAGCCTAGCCCACCTTCAGGGGCCACACACCTCCAGGTGCCCACAGATGCACCAGTGTGTGTGCACTTACACACATCAGCCCCACACACGGTCGCTCGGAAACGGCATCCCGGCTTCACACAGTGCGCGACACGCATACGCATGGTGGATGACCAAGAGCGGGTTCCTTGGACAGACCCAGAGCAGCCCCCCAGCGCTCACCACGGGGGCCTCTCTGGGGTTCACAGAAGGGGCGGTGAGCCCCATCCTCGTCCTTAGGGAGTGGGGTCTCTGGACCAGCAGCAGCAGCATCACCTGAGAACCTGTCAGAAGTGCTCCGAGTCCTGCCTCTGGGGCCTCCTGCGGGGCTACAACTCCCTGCCACGCTTTTGACGTGCCAGCCCCTGTGCCCTGGGAACCGTCTGTGCATCATCTCATTTAAAACTCACAAACACGCCACCGGCCGTCACCTTATTTCTCCCATATTTTTCAGATGAGGAAGCCAAAGTCCAGTGACCTTAAGAGACTTGCCTGGAGTAACCCAGACAGACCCCAACCCCGCCCAGCATGCCAGGCATGTAGCTCCTGGCCTGGGCTAAGTGTGAACAAGCCCCCCGCCCCAGGACCGCGCCTGCATGCCAGCCCCCAGCCCTGCCTCCCCTGGTTCCCTCCCTGTCCCCCCCCCACCGCAGCCGGTCCTGAATCTTTTCTCAAGAGACAAAGCTGGGCCATCCCAGCAGGGGGTGGGACGAGGGGCGGGAGCCAAAGTCACACCTCGTGAGCAAGCCGCACCTCTGCCAAGGCCCTTGCCCGCCCTGCCTGGGGGAGCGGCAGGGAGGACAGAGGCTCCGGGGCTGGCAGATGGCAGCATGGTGAGCATGTCCCGGACCCCAGCCCAGCCCGCACTCCACAGCCTGGAGTGCTCACCTCATCCGACCCAGATGATTTACAAGGATGTTTCCTGCTCTGAAACTGTGTCTTAGATTCTAGATTTGCATGGGACATGTGAGAAGTCTGGCCAGGACATGGGAGTCTGAAATGTGAATGGCTGTGGACCCGGCTCTCTGCTCAGCCTAACCTCATCTCCGCTCGAGGCTTGGGAGTGACCCCCTGTCCCCCCTGACGTGCCTGGCTTTGCACCTACGCCTCTGTCCCCCACATACGCACGCACCCAAGAGGACTCTTCTTCTCTAGCATATCTGGGCAGGGCGTCAGGGCTCAGGAGGAGCGAGGAGTCAGGCCCCTCATCCCAGACCCAGAGGCCGCCATGGCGGCCTGTGATTTTGTGACTGATGCCAACATCTCGCCCGGCCTTGAGAGCAACGCCACGGGCATCACGGCCTTCTCCATGCCCGGCTGGCAGCTGGCGCTGTGGGCCACCGCCTACCTGGCCCTGGTGTTGGTGGCCGTGACGGGCAATGCCACGGTCATCTGGATCATCCTGGCCCACCAGAGGATGCGCACAGTCACCAATTATTTCATTGTCAACCTGGCCCTGGCTGACCTCTGCATGGCCGCCTTCAATGCCGCCTTCAATTTCGTCTACGCCAGCCACAACATCTGGTACTTCGGCCGTGCCTTCTGCCACTTCCAGAACCTCTTCCCCATCACGGCCATGTTCGTCAGCATCTACTCCATGACCGCCATCGCCACTGACAGGCAAGAGGGGGCTGGCGGGGAGGCCAGGGGAAGCTGTCTCACTTTGTCGGGGCTCAGACAGGGCCAGTGACTTGTCCGTAGTCACACAGCAAGTTAGCAGTAGAACTCAGGGAATTGCCTCCCAACTCAATCACGATCTTAAAGTGTGCATCTGGGGCGCCTGGGTGGCTCAGTCAGTTAAGCATCCGACTTCAGCTCAGGTCACGATCTCGCGGTTCGTGGGTTCGAGCCCCGAGTCAGGGCTCTGTGCTGACAGCTCGGAGCCTGGAACCTGCTTTGGATTCTGTGTGTGTGTCTCTCTCTCTGCCCCTCCCCTGCTCACACTCTGTCTCTCTCTGGGTCTAAAAGATGAATAAACCTTAAAAAAATTTTTTTTAGTAAAAATGAATAAATAAAATAAATAAAAGCATGCATGTGGGAGACAAAAGAGCATGGAACCAAAGCAGGCAAAGTTAAGGTTAGACCCAAGGAAGAACTTGGCACTGGATGGTTGTTCAAGGCTGTCGGGAGAGAAGGGCCGTGTTTAGGGAACTTCTAGAGTATTCTTCTCTGGAGTTGATCTCTTTTGGCGTCTTTCTTTTACTACAAGGACATGGCTTTTCCTGTTTTCCTATTCCTAGATAGATTATACTGGGGAGGATTTAATATTGCATGCAGTTACCATACAATTACAATGGGTCCAATTACTTTCCCAATCCTGTTCTCAGGGGGCCGCAGGCTGTGGCCTTCTGCTGAAGGCCGGGAGGGTGGAGGAGTGATCAGTGGAGCCAAATGCAGTCCTTCTGAAGCTGGTTGGGGCAGTCAGGGCACAGTTTGGCCTCAGAAGGGGACTGTGTGACCCTGGGGAAGAATGGTTGGGACAGACAGCAAACAAAAAGAGACACAGAAAGACAGCAGGTGTATGTCCAGGAGGGGCAGGCCTGGGACCCTCAGAGACACAGATCCCTTGTCAGGATGGTTTGAAGGGGCATGAGCCCCGCTGTCCCCCACCACTGCCCCCCCCCCCCCCCCCAGTCTCCATCTCCAGGCGTCTGCCCAGTGACACACAGCAGCTGGCTCTTGTCTGCTCTGGGCTGTTTTTCTATGGAGTTTCCCTAAAGATGTCATTTGAGGAATGTATTTCTACTAATTAAAAATGAAAAGAAGCGTTCGAAAACCATTCGTCTAGGCCATGCTTCTGATTTTGTACCCAGGCCAACAGAGGCCAGAGACAAGCAGGATCGCCAGCAAGTCAGGGTCAGGGCCAGCGGCCCAGAACCCAGCCGGCTCAGCTCTCAGGAAGGGGCGTGTCCCTCCTCATCTGACCACACCCCCTGCCCCCGCCAAAAGCACCTCAGTACCCCTGGATGTCTCTGCAAGTCCACTAACATGTTGTTCTCCTTCACTCAACAAATACTCGAGTGCTCCCTCTGTTTCAGGCATTGGGGAATATACACCAGAAGGAAAAAGTCCTTGAAATCCGGCCTCATGGAACTTGCATTTCAAGGTGGGGGGAGGGGGGGAGTCTGGAGACCAGGCAAGAGGCTGGTGAATAATAATCCAGGTGAGAGAGGATGGTAACTCAGGCCGGGGTGTTAACAGCGAAGCCCCGTCCATTCGTTTCTTCATTCATTCATATGTTCAAGGCCGACTACGTACAGATACCGTTCTGGCCATTGGGGCAAAAAACAGATAAACCTGGCTGCCCTGGTGAGAATTTAAATAATACACACATGAATAAATTGTACGTTGTATTTTGAGGTCATGAGGGCCGTGGAAAAATACCATGGAGAGGCGAGGGGACCCCAGGTGCCGGGCTGTGTGTCGGGGTGGGGGCAGGCTGGAGCGCTATACAGGGTGTGGGGTCGGCCCCACTGTGGGGTGGGTTTGGAGCCAGGATGGAAGGAGGTGAGAGAGAGAGCCCTGTGAGCGCTGGGGAAAGATCAATCCAGGGAGAGGGCACAGCGGCAGCAAAGGCCCGTGGCAGGGTGGTGCCTGGTGTGCGTGAGGGGCCCCAGGAAAGACCGTCCTCACCCAGACAGGGTAGAAAAGCTCAGGGGGCACGGAGTCAGCACTCCCCGGGTGCCTAGAACACGGGGATGTCAACTTCCCTGCTTAGGGCAAGGTCATCCTATGGTCCAGACCTTGTCTCCAGGTTCAGATTAACCCCAGAGAGGAAGGCCCAGGGGTCATCCAGGACCAAAGTCACTTCTGGTGCATTTAAAGGACACAAATACATAGGAACAATGGCCCTTTCAAGTCCTAAACCCCTGCTGCCTGCAGGCGCTTCTCAAGCATCTCATTCCCTTCCCAAGACAACCACAGGGGCTCAAATGACTGTCAGCTCACTTTACAGAAGAGGGTGGTTTGAGTCCCTACGGCTGGAAGGTGATGAAGTCAGGGTCCACATTTAGATCAAAGCCCCAGAGCTGCCCCTCAACTAACAGGGAAAGAGAAAAAGCTCTCCTCTTTCCCACCCCACTTGCCACAACAGCAAGGGAACCCCAGCCCCCCAGTTGGCCCGCTGGTCACCTGCCTCATCTGTGGGGAGGAGGCCCCTGACGAAATGCCACTCCTCTCGTCCTGCTGAGGCACTCAGCCCAGATCCAGGCCATCTTGGGGTAGAGCTGGCCCAGGGCCCGGCCACAGTAAAGGGGGAAGGTCAGTGTCTCAGACAGAGGAAGGAGGGGTCGACAATCATCCAATCCAGATGTGCGTAACTTGTGACCACAGACCGTCACAGAAGTCCCAGGGGTCATCAGCTTCTGTGGGGGTGAAAAATCACTGTTCCAAATGGAGGCAACAAACCACATTTTGCTGGGATTCCAGCAGTGCCTGGGGCCACGTCACCGATAGAAATCACAGATACCTCTGTTGTGCAGAAATCTCCAAGCATCCACTGCAGTCGTCACTACTTAAAAATTACCACGGGGGCGCCTGGGTGGCTCCGTCAGTTAAGCGTCCTACTTCAACTCAGGTCATGATCTCGCGGTTTGTGAGTTCGAGCCCCGCGTCGGGCTCCGTGCTGACAGCTCAGAGCCTGGAGCCTGCTTTGGATTCTGTGTCTCCCTCTCTCTCTGTCCCTCCCCCACTCATGCTCTGTCTCTCTCTGTCTCTCAATAATAAATAAATGTTTTAAAAATTTTTTTAAATAGGGGCGCCTGGGTGGCGCAGTCGGTTAAGCGTCCGACTTCAACCAGGTCACGATCTCACGGTCCGTGAGTTCGAGCCCCGCGTCGGGCTCTGGGCTGATGGCTCGGAGCCTGGAGCCTGTTTCCGATTCTGTGTCTCCCTCTCTCTCTGCCCCTCACCCGTTCATGCTCTGTCTCTCTCTGTCCCAAAAATAAATAAACGTTGAAAAAAAAAATTTTTTTTAAATAGTTACCACGACAGCAGGGGTGGGGATGGTGCACCTGGGTGGCTCAGTCAGTCGAGCGTCTGACTTTGGCTCAGGTCATGATCTCATAGTTCATGAGTTCTAGTCCTATGTAAGGCTTGCTGCTGTCAGCTCAGAGCTGGTTTCAGATCCTCTGTCCCCACCACTCTCTGCCCCTCCCCTACTCGTGCTCTCAAAAATAAATAAATATTAAAAACAAATCTATCATCGGTTCCAGACCTGCTGCTAGATCTTGTTTAGTGGGTTGATAAAGAAGCGTGCATATTGCTGTGCCCCAAATCTATTTTATATTTTGCTCACCGTATTCCAGTATAACTGATTGTCTTTGTAATCCTGTGTAATTTATTCACATAAAAACTGTATTCCGAGGAGGGCCCCCCCCCATCTCGCCCCACACCCTCCCTCTTGTGAGGCGGCAACCAAAGCCCCCGGTCACAGGGCACAGCATAAGAGAAGCAGTGTGGGGCCCCGTGTCTTTGGTGGATGGTGCTCTTTGGATCCTTTGACCTTGGAAGCCGGCGGCTACCCCAGCTCTCCCTTCCTTGGTCAGGGCCGTGACCCATGAGGCCTCAGCCCCACCAGGCTCCAGGACGTTCCCACAGCGGCTTCAGAGGTCCCGGGAGCAGAGGGGAACTGCACGACTTGGTTCAGGGCCAGTGCTGCCTCTTCCAGCTGGTTCTTCCCCTTCTGCAAGCCTCAGTCTCCGGGTGCAGAAAATGGGGAGAACAACCCCTGCCTGAGATACTCAGGCCAAACAGCAGCTCAAATCCTCAGAGGTTCCCCAGAGAGAGAGGCAGGAGCTGAGAAGACAAGCCTGTTTCTGGCCGACTTCTTGGAAGAGGTGACCTTTCACTTGGACTTTAGTGAATCCAGAGTGGAAGGAGAAATTTCAGGCTGAGGGGGAAGAAATGCCCCCTACAGAGGGTCACACAGGCAGGGCTGTTCCTTGACCAGAATGAGCCAGGGAAGGTGCGGGAAGCAGTGGCACAGGAAGTGAGAAAGTAAGTGCGTTGGCCATGTGCAGAGGGCCTTGAATGCCGAGTTTAAAGGTTTGGGCCTGCTGTGTCTGGTAACCTAACCATGTGCCTATTTACATTTGAATTAGTTAAAACTTAAAACACTGTTCCTCAGTCATATTAGCCACACTTCCAGTGTTCATGGCCATGTGTGGTTATGGCTACTGAACGGGACAGTTTATACATAGGGCATTTCCACCCCTGCAGAAAGCCGACAGGCAGGGCTGGTTTGGGCTGTGTCTGGGAGACTGTCGGGTTCCGCTAAGGTTTCTGACCAGAAGAGGGACAGCATAGGGCCAAGGGGACCGGCGGCTTTTGGCAAATGTTTTGAGTGGACTTCCAGTGTGGCCACACCGCTCTCTGGTGGCCATTTGAGAGTAAATCCGCCCCCAGGGAGGCGATGAGGTGAGGCCTGGCCTGGGGTTTTAGGGCACTGGCGTGCTGTGTGGCTGTGGGAGAGTCACCAGCCCAGGTGGCTCTCTGCAGGGGCCCAGCACGGCATGGGAAATGGGGCTCTGGAGGCGGGGAGGGGTGCCCGCCACTCACACAGCACTCTGCTCACAGGTACGTGGCCATCGTCCACCCCTTCCAGCCGCGGCTCTCAGCCCGTGGCACCAGAGCGGTTATTGCAGGCATCTGGCTGCTGGCCCTGGCCCTCGCCTTCCCCCAGTGCTTCTACTCCACCATCACCACGGACCAGGGCGCCACCAAGTGTGCGGTGGTCTGGCCCGAAGACAATGGCGGCAAGATGCTCCTTTTGTAAGGCCTGGGCCGTGGGGACCATAGTGTGTGTGTGTGTGTGTGTGTGTGTGCACGTGTGGGTGCAGGTGTCTGTGAGCGCTTGGGATTACGTGAGTACCTGTCTGTGCTAACAGTTTCATTTAGCACATACCACGTGTTGGGCTTGACATACATGAAGCCACTTCACTCCCCTAACACTACCGGGGACGCATGTAGTATTATTCCCAGGTTTCAAATGAGGACGCTGAAGCCCTAAAAACTAAGTAATAGGCCCAAGGTCCCACAGCCAGCAGGTGGTGAAGCGAGGGTTTAAACCCAGGTGGTCCTGCCTGAGAGCTCACCACTGCCTCCCCACACGGCTACTTAGACAAGGACACATGTATCCTCAAATGAGGACATGCCCGTGTGCACATGTGCGTGGGACACCGGGTGTGTGGGCACGCGGCTCCCACTGACGTCCGCGCGTGTGTGCAGAAGTGTGTGCGCGCACAGGTGTGTGTTTGGGGGAGGCCACCGCGAATGCTCAGGGTACTGAGGCAGAAAGAAAGGGCAGGTGACTGAGCCGGGGATGTTTTCCGGGGGATGTCTGGTGCCTGCCTCACGCTGAGTGGGCACCACGGGTGGGGGGGACTAGGAAGAAGAACGCAGGCACGGGCCAGCCATTGTGTGACTCTGGGTAAGTCTTTTCCCTTGCTGGGCCTCAGTGTGCCCAGTTCTCACCGCGTGGACCCCCCCACCCCCATGCGTGGCCTGGCGGCTTAGCAGAGGATAGAGAATTTGCTGAGGTTTTGCAAGTCAGTAGTTGGGGCAGAGTCCTGCCCTGTCCCTCATAGTCACTTGACCTTTCTGACCCTTTGGCTCCTCCCGTAGGCGGTAACTCGGCAGAGAACGTGTTGGAAAGTTGCTGTGAGCATGCGCGAGAAAATGATATGACGCCGTTAGCGCCGCACGTGGCACGGAACTGACACCCGCTGTGTAGTAGTTGAAGCAGGGGACACATGAAAACAAACGTGGAGGTGTCAGATTTAGTCCAACAGAGGCCCAGCTGCCCCAAGCAGGAGGATGCGGAGGCTTTGGCGGAGGGCTGCCAGGTCACCATGGCAACACAGCCCCCACCCTCCGCCTCCTTTAACACCCCTCCCCCATCGCCCGCCCCTGCACGGTTTCCATCTGCCCCAAGCACCAGCCAGAAGCGGGCCTCGCTGTGGCCGTCAGTGCTAGGCAAGAAGCCTGAGAAGCCCGTTCCCGGGGACTGACGAGTTTTGAGGGCGGCCTCTGCCCTTACTCTATTCCGCTCCCCGACCCCTGCCCTGCCCCCAAGGGCAAGGTCCCCCGTACCGAAGGCTCAGGGAAGGGTGGAGAGCAGAATATTTTGTGACTGACCACTGGGGGGCAGTGTTTCTCCGCCTTAACACATGCCTTTCTGCCTAAGAGGGGGCCCGGAGAGGGGACCAGGAATAATAACTCAGGGCACCCAGCACCAGCTCTCTGGGGATGGTGAGTTCCGACCCTGATTCAGGCGCCAAGAAAAAACAGGAAGGCTACTTCGGTGTTACTTAGAATTCCGTGAGGATTTGGGCAAAGCCTGGTCTTCTGTGTGAGAATATAGTCTTTGTTCTTGGGTGGGGACACTTGAGGGCTCCACCCTCACAGGCGCCCATCCTGGGTCTATCGGAATCTGGTGAAATTACAGATGCCCCCTCCAGGAAAATGCGCATGGATCCCTAAAATCAAAACACACAAATCCAGGCAATGAAAGGACACATTCCTGATCTGGGGCAGGCCCCAGATGACCCCCACATCCCCTTGGTGCTCCCCTCTGTGTAGGAACCTAGCCCAGGGTGAATTCCTATCCTGAACCCTGTCCCAAGGAAAGGCAACAGAGTGATATCCCTCATACTTGGGAAGGACCTTAGGCATTACAAATGGGGAAACTGAGACTAAGGGAGAGAGCAGAATTGCCTGAGGTCACCCTTAAAGTTAGAGGCTGACCAAGAACTCAGTTCTGGCTTCACAGAGCTGACCTTCAGTGATAGGGAAATCGTTTTTTGGTAGTGATTAAATCTGTAGAGCTGTTTCATGTGTCACAGACTTTCTGCGCCTCTCTGGGGCTCCATTTCCCTCCAGACACCGAGGCAGGTGGCCCTGCTGATCCCCAAGGTCTATCTAGCTCAAACACTCTGTGACCTCACTGCTCCTCCCTGCCCTTACTTGCTCCACAGCAGGACTAGCTGAGGAGTCCGGGGTCTAGCAGTCCCCAAGAGCAAGCAAGCAGAATTCTAAAAGGCTTTAGGGAAGACATTTGCTGGAGCCACCCGCTCCCCTCCCTCTCGGTGGCAGCACCTCTCGAAACCGGCCGGCGCACAGGTCACGGGGGGGTGGGGGCCTTGGGAACACTTCAGCCCTCGAAGAAAAAGGTCACGTGGCAAGGCCATGGGTCTCAGGCCCTTTCACGAGGTGCCCCCGCCCAGGCCCTGTTGGAGACGACCTGCAGCGTCACTCAGACACTGGCGTGGCCAGCACACGTCTCCTTTACACCGTCTTTCCAGAAGGAAGAAGAGACACGGCTCAACACAGCCCGGCTTGCTCTCCACGGGGGCTAGATGAGGAAACGTCAGTGGCATTCGGGGCCACTTGCCCGAGGGTGGTGCGAGAGAAGGTCTGCTGGCATGAGCCATGTTCCCAACCCAATGCTGATGGGCAGGGAGAGATGACCAATGTCGTGTAGTGACTCTGTTGTCGCTGCCCTGTTCCCTGATAAGGATTCCGGTGCAGGGTGGAAGCATGTCAACTCCAGAAAATCTACGTCTCCAGACAGACAGATGCAGATACAGACTATATATATAATCTATCTAATTCAGGTGCACATACACATGTCATATATACACAGGATTCTGGAAGAAAATTGTCCCAAATAATTACCGTGGTGAGGATGCAATGAGTGATTTTACTTCCTCCTTTGTGCTTAATGGCATTTTAAATGTTAAACAAATGTATTATTTGGTTAATTTTTCATTCCTAACTATTTCCTTTTTTGGTAGTATTCATCTGTCACCTGGAGGGATGCAGGCGAGAAAACGCCGGTGTCTCTTTTGCAGCAAGGGAAGCCCTCTTTGGGCATAAATGCTAGCCCGTGTTGCCTTTAAAAAATTTTTTAAGTTAAATCAAGGCTTGGGAGGGGGTCCAGGGTGGCTAGCCCGGAGTTGGCTTAGGGACGCTCGCGGGGTCGGGGGGACTGAGCGCTGACGGATGCCGAAGTCGCCCCCGGGCCGTCCCCTGCCCAGGCCTTTGGCTCTCCCTCCAGGTACCACCTCGTGGTGATCGCCCTCATCTACGTGCTGCCTCTCGTGGTGATGCTCTTCGCCTACAGTGTCATCGGCCTCACGCTCTGGAGACGCAAGGTCCCCAGGCACCAGACGCACGGCGCCAGCCTGCGCCACCTGCAGGCCAAGAAGAAGGTGGGCGCCGGGGGCGGTGCTCGGCGGGGGGCGGTGCCTCTGCCCTCACTCTGTTCCGCTCCCCCGCCCCCCCATGTCCGGCCCCCAGAAGGTCTCAAAGCTCCTGTCTGGGCCCCGCCTCGGGGCCTCACCCTTCCGGGCTCGCAGCCCGCCCCTGGGGAGGGGTGCGGGTGAGAACAGGATCCACCCTAACTTGCCCGGTCCCCAGTCCCTGAACAGAGCCTGAGTTAGTTCTTCCCGGGAGGACAGCTTGCCTTTGGCCTTTGCCAAATACGAAGTTAAAGGAACTTCCCAGACTGTCACGAGAATCGGAGAATCCTAAAACCCCACGGAATTTCAGATACTCCCAAGAATCTTAGAATAATAGATTCTCAGAAATCTCAGACGTTTCGAGAAATCGTAATGTTGAATATAAGAAGCCCCGCAAAAGCACAGGAGGCTCCCGTATAGAATCACAGGAGAATTCTCAAATGTTGGAACTGGAGACCTCGGAGCTCTTGGAGACGGGGTTGGAGTCCAGCTGTATCCAGTCTGCATTCCACTTCCGACCGAAGTGCTGGCGTGCCCCCTCCTCCTGCCATTCAGGGCCCCCCAAGGAGTCTGTGATTCAGTTTGTGATCCTCCCGTCTTTCCCAAAGCTGATCTTTGCCGTGGCCCCTTCCTGTTAGGCATCCAGGGGGAGGTAGTGGTTAATCCCATCATGTATCAGGTCAAAATCTCATGTGTTTGAGGTTTCATGCCTGCTACTAGGCATTTTTCACAGGGCAATTCAGGGAGGTGATGGGATATGGGACACCATCTGAATGTCCCTCCTCATGAAGAGCTGGCCTCCACTTGCCCTCCATTGCCCCAGGGTACTGGCCCACACTCAGGAGGGCCTGCAGAGACCAGGCCGGGAAGGGAGAAAGGTCAGGGAGCAGGCCCCTGGGGCAGAGGCTGGGGTCCCCGACTAGAGTCTCACTACCTACGGATAGAAGGGCTGTGGCAGACACAGATCCCAGGGAGAGGGGCACCTGGGAACCCCTAGCTGGCAGAGGGGAGCCCCCAAGGATGGGGTTAGGAGCTAGAGCTCACCCACTGTCCAGGGAGGGGAGCTGCTCTGAGTCAGGGGTCGGGACACCTGCTAGAGGAGGTGGCCACTGAGCTGGCCCTCAAGGACTTGAGGACAGCAGTGTGGGCAGAGGGGCGGGCCTGAACAAGAGCCCCGAGGTGCAGGGCCCTGGAGTCAAGTCGGCGTGTGCTCCAGGGGACTCTAGGGCTTCCCAAACTGGCCTGAGGGGTGCCCTGCCGCCACCCTTGGAGGGTTGGGGGGGCAGGGGGCTTCCAGGCTGAGGAGTGACCTGAGCCTCTCCCGGCCCAGTTTGTGAAGACCATGGTGCTGGTGGTGGTGACCTTTGCCGTCTGCTGGCTGCCCTACCACTTCTACTTCATCCTGGGCAGCTTCCAGGAGGACATCTACTACCACAAGTTCATCCAGCAGGTCTACCTGGCGCTCTTCTGGCTGGCCATGAGCTCCACCATGTACAATCCCATCATCTACTGCTGCCTCAACCACAGGTGAGCCCTTGGCCCTCTCCTCGGCCCTCAGGGACCCGCGGCCTGGCCTGGTCGCCTCTGGGCATCCCTGCACAGCTTGAGCCCCACCTCCTCGCCAAAGCCTCGCCCCATTGCCCAGGCCCTAGTTCTTACCGTTGGTCTGCTCCTGCTCTGTCTTCTGAGCCTACGTTTGGGACGAGGAGAAGAGAGAAGGGACAGAGAGGGAGGGAGTAGGGTCAGAGAGAGGCCAAAAGGCAGAGAGGGAGGAAGGAGCCGGGTAAAGGAGGTGGGGACTTATTCTGCCCTGACATTTTGAAGAGCTTTCTGCAATGACGAAGAACCAAGGACTTTCCTTGGGCCAGGTGAGCAGCACCAACCCCACAGTAGGAAGAGCTCAGTCGGGACCCCAGGGCCAGGACTGGGGAGAGAGCAGGCTGCTCCCTGGGAAGGTTACAGTGCATTTCCTGCCCTCAAGGGGCAGGAGGAGTGACCTTGGCAGTCAGCCGGGGAGGAAGGCACCAAGTTCTTACTCCTCCCTCAGACACACCTGGTGCTCCCAGCCCTGTACGTCTGGGGAATTGGAGGCCCACGGAGGGGCTGGTGTTTGCTCTGGGGCCCTAGGGGAGGTGGAAGGCGGTGGCCCAGGTAGGAACCCAGCACCCAGGAGCCCTGCTGCAGAGTGGGCTCGTCAGGCTCAGGAAACCCTGAGGGAGGGTCAGGTAAGAGGAGATGAGAGGTGGACAGGGAGGCCTGGTCTCAACCAGACAGTGACGTCGGGCAAGGTTGGGCCTCTGTGTTCATGCCTTTTACCACCCGCTGCCCATGTGTCCAGGTCACTCGTGATGCCATCAGGGTCTTTGTTGCTCAGATATCCCACGTGCCTGGGGCGGGCCGGAAGGAAGTGAGAAAATTCTGGGTTTTTAGTGTTTAATGGGTGACAAAACCCTCCACTGTCCACGGAGAGGTAAAAAGTAGATAATAGGAGGAAGGGAGGTGTTATCCCCATTTTACAGATGAGGAAATGGAGCCTCAGAAAGGAAGACTCCTGAACTGTATACACAAAGCAACAGAGCCAGGATTGCATGTATCTCCAAGGCCTGTAACCTTAACACCACACCACACATTTCCCTTGAGGCAGCTTATAGAAGAGCTTGGAGACAGGGACCGTCACATCAGGGAGGGGCCCCCAGCACCGCGTGTCTGTGCATCGGTCACTCCCCTGCTACCCAGTGACAGTCCCTGAGAGTCTGAACAACTCCCCAGGCTCTACGCATTTCTGAAGTAACCTCAGAATCTTCAGTAGTTGGCGACACTAGCTCCAGAGCAGGACCAGCGCTCCTGGCAGCAGCCTTCGGTCATTCACAATACGCTCACAAGTGGCCACATGTGCCCGCACTGTTCCAGGCACCTGGGACACACCGGTGAGCGAAAGCAGATGATTCCTTCCCTCGAGACGCTGACATGCTAGTGGGGAGACAGGCAATAAGCAAGCGTAATGAGTCCATGAGTCACACAGTGTATCAGGTGGGAAGTTCTAGGGGAAAGAGGAAAACCAGAGCTGGGGAAGGAACGGCAGGAGGTGCTGTCTGGGGAAGGACTCCGAACGGAGGGAACAGCCAAGGCAAGGTCCTGCGGTCGAGATAAGGACTTGGGCCGCCACTCTGCCGAGAGGAGCCCAGCGGAGCTGAGTTGGAGAGACGCGTACTCTGGCTTGCCTTTTAAAAGAATCGGCCTGGCAGCGCGTTGGAACGGGACGACTGCGGGGCGAGCAGAGCAGCAGGGGATGGGGAGGCTGTTGCAGGGATGCAGGCGAGAGACGGGGGTTTCAGACTGGGGTGACAAGTAGTCAGAGTCTGGATGTTACTAAGGTAGAGCCAACAGAACGACGGAGGGGAGGCGGCATGTGAGAGAAGGCAAGGACGGACGGCTCCGGGTTCTGGGCATGAGCAGCCGGAAGGATGGCCACGGGGGCAGGGGTGGGAGGGGAGGAGGGGGAGCCCCGGGTAGGACATGCTGGGTGTGGGCGGAAGGGGCAGAGGCCGAGAAGCTCCCACAATAGAGACATTTATTGGGCCCCCCGCCCCATGGAATCTTATAGAGCTACAAGGTGAGGAACCAAAGTCAGGCCTGCTCTTCTGGAACATGGAACCCTGTGTCTCCTGGGCCGTCCTGCCAGCCCATTTCCTCCATTGTCTGCTCCCCCTTCTTTTTCTTTTTCTTTTTTTTTTTTTTTTTTTTTTATGTTTTTATTATTTTTGAGTGATATAGAGACAGAGCACGAGCCGGGGAGGGGCAGAGAGAGAGGGAGACACAGAATCTGAAGCAGGCTCCGGGCTCCGAGCTGTCAGCACAGAGGCTGATGCGGGGCTTGAACTAGGGAACTAGTGAGATCATGACCCGGGCTGAAGTCGGTCGCTTAACAGACTGAGGCACCCAGGCGCCCCTGTCTGCTTCCCCTTCTAATTTAGATTTTAGTGTGGTCATGGGGAGAATTCTTTTTTAAGCAAATATACCCAAACTGGGATTTTCTCTCAAAGCAGCCCCCTTGGGAGAGCGTCTTTACTGCACTCAACACTGCCAAAGCCCAGATTTCTTAAGACTCCTCTAGAAAACTCCTTTAGGGGCCAATTAACAAATCAAACAAAAAAACCTCTGTTGTTTCTTTAAATCGTATCTGGGGTTTTTTTTTTGTCTGTAATAACAAATGGTCTGATTTGGCTTCGTCACCCACTTCGGTCACTAGACTTAGCTCCAGATTACTTCTGGATGTTTCCAAAAATCAAATCCGCTGAGGAGTGTGTCTCCCAAGAGATGGTGAACCATGATGGGCAATTAGGAGAGCACAAAATTCCCGCGGGGGACAGCCGCAGGGCAGTTCCTGTAACTGTCCCCTCACCCCTCTGCTCCACGTGACCCTCTGTCTCTCAGGTTTCGCTCTGGATTCCGGCTTGCTTTCCGTTGCTGCCCATGGGTCACGGCGACTGAGGAGGATAAGATTGAGCTGACTCACACTCCATCCCTCTCTGTGAAGGTCAACAGGTGTCACACTAAAGAGACTTTTTTCATGGCTGGGGACACAGCCCCCTGCGAGGCTACCAACGGGCCGGCCGGGGGCCCCCAAGACGGGCTGCCTACTGAACCCTGAAGCCTTGTGCCTGGCTGCTGGGTCAGGCTTTGCACCCTTTGAGAAGTAGCCAGTTGAGAGGTCCAGATCTGAAAGTCTGACCCACGCCCCAGCCTTCGGCACATCCGTGGAAAGACAAGATGGGGCCAGGAACTCTGCAGTGGGTGCTAACTCTTGAGAGGGCCCAGTCACCCCTGACCGTGCTTCACGGCAGCCAGGAAGAGTCAAAGAAGACCGTGTGAGCTAACGCTGGTCTGATCCAGGTGCCACACGCCCCAAAGTCTTCCTGGAGCACACAGCTTAATGAGTGAACTGGATCCGGTATAAAAGAAACACGGCAACTGTGATAAAAGGCAACCGACTTCCAGCGTTGGGGTAACAGGGAGTTCCGGGTACCGTGGCAGCTGGAGGGCCAAGGGGACAGCTGCCGATCAGCTCCGGACAAATGTCGCCGTGTGGTAATGGGGGCCCACGGTTGCCAGACCTTCTAAATCTCTCGAGACACGCCAGAAATCCAAACCTGTGGGGCTTCCAGACTTGTATGTACAGTTTGGCTCACGTTTTTATAAATATCGGTTAAACCAAACTGAACACCCGTGGGCAGCACCCACTGATTTATGATCAGGCTACGGACACAGGGAGGAAGCTTCTTATTTTGCAAAGGCTGTGAGTGGATCCGACCGGGGGCTTCTCCGCTTCAGCATCTGAACGCAGATCCAGCTCCGTGGAGGTGGTGGTTGAGTCAAAAGGAGCCTCAGCTGCGTTGCCTCAGACCAGTCACCGTGAACTAGCATGCCAAACGCATGTTAAGTGCTTCATAAACAGTCACCGTGACTTTTATCAACACCAAGCCGGTGATTTCACACGAATGCCTCCAGGAAGTGGGCACCAGCCTTCACCCTCGCTCCAGCAACAAGAAGGTGACGGGCAGAGAACGCCGACCGTCTCGACTCCCAGAGAGCTCCAGGCCCGGCCCGGGCCACCCCAAGGACATCCTTCTCCCCGCTTGCCGACTCACCCGGCACGCCCCCCGCCCCTCCGGAAGAACCACATAACGCTGTAAATGCAAGAGAGTTTAATGCTGTGTTGCCCACAAAGATCACTGTGCCATAGGGACTGGCAGCACCAAATAAAGGGACTCCTCCGCTCTTGACATGCCAAGGGAACATGCAGTTGGTCCTGGAGGAAGCCACGTAGGGCTGGAGTCGTGGCTTGGGAGAATCACGTGGCACCTCGATCACCAGGTGCGGACCGATGTGGGCTCCGCTGATGAGCCGTGGGGGTAGAACAGCAACCTCAAGGTTGAGGCCGGGGAGGGGTGGAAGGGTCAGAGGAGGATCAGCTTCCTGGAGAAGGGATTCGTTAAAAGTGGGAGAGGAGGACAACGCGGGCGACCTGCTAGCCCGGGCCTGCCGCGAGACTTCATCCGCGCTGGAACAGGGGGCCTGCGTCGTCTGTTCTCTTGGCAGAGGGTGACCAAGGGCGGGGTCTCCCTGGGGATGGCAGTAGGGAGACCAGAGTTGCACTGTCCTCTCCTTAAAGCCAAGCAGCCTCTGGAAGTCCCTGGGGGACAGAGGCTTTCCATCGCTCTACCTTCTTAAAGGTGCGGGCGGGGGTGGGACCCTGGGCTGGGGCAGGAGGTGGCCAGGCAGGTGCTGGAAAACAAGGGGAGAGGCTAGTTCTGTCACCCTTGCAGAGAGTAGAGGTGGTTGTCCCAGAAGAAGGCTGGGGGCTGAAGAACATGATCTTCACGTCACTGTTCCCCCGACCCAGAGTCCCCAGGGCTTGGTGTCCACCGCCTCCCCCACCCCGTGTCCTCCCCGCTCTCCAGCCATCAAGCATCACTCGGGTCTTTGAATCGGTACAAAGTTTACTAGGTCATACAACATGGCTCACAAAAGCAATGGGAAATTCCAATGGGGGCACTGTTTGTCGGTTCGGTTCCTTTTGCCCAAATGGAGACGAGACATTTTCCCGCAGAACTGCCCACCTCCCCCCCGCCCCCGCAACAAGACAGACAGAATGCAAGACTGTCAAGGCATGGCTCTGACCAGTTCCACGGACACACGATTCAGTGGCACTGACACGTCTTGAGGGCAACCTCGGGACGCCAGACAGCAGTGGGCGCTGGGACGGGAGGAAGCAGCTAAGGTTCCCCCGGGGAGGGAGTCCCGGCAGTGTCTGCTGGTGATAATACGTTTCACACAGGGGATGTGTCCCCAAGGACGGGCTGCGGAGGCCCAGGAGGCCTGCCAGATGGTGCGACTTTTCACCTTGGGCCAATAAATAACTCTGTAGGACGAATGCAGAAACTGGAAACGGACGCCACTAAACTTCACACACGGGGAGCGTACGACCGGGTAGAAATCGGATCATGCAGAGTGGCGGGGGCAGACGAGGAGGGGCCGGAGTGGGGAGAGATTATCGACAGCACGCGCTCTATTTTGTACCCTACGCTATGCGCCATTAGTTGGCTTGGGTCTCCCTCCCCGCTGCGGCGAGGCCGGCCCTGGCGCCGGGGTCTCCCGGCACAGCTCGCTGGGAGGGACAGGGGGTCGCCGCCTGAAGAGAGGAGCGCTGGAAGGACAGCAGGCCGGGGGGCCGGTACTCTTAGCTGCTCGATTCTTCCCGGAGCCGGACGCCCACGGCCGTGATGAGGGCAGCCCCCTTGCCACTGCCGTCTTCGGACAGGAGGAAGGACACGTTGCAGTTCGGTGACAGTTCCTGCACGGTTTGGTGCATGATTCTCGAGAAGCTGGAAGAGACAACACACAGAGGAGAAGGGTAGGTGGAGAAGAGAAGAAGGGACGCCGGACCCGCGCGGAGACGCTACGGGACCCTAGCGAGAAGGGGACACGCGAGGTGGCGGGGCTGCCTGGAAGCGGCTGCGGCTCCTTGACAACGGTCGGGACGACCGTGGATTTGCAGCCAATCCCACCACCGCAGTGTTCGGCCGGGAGGAACTTCCGAGAGCCCAAAAATAAGCGACCGTACGTCTCGCCAGGGCCACGGCGTGAATAGCACACTCACACACGCCCCTCCCCAAAGCTTGAGGCGTCTGGGGGACCGGGCACCAAGAAGGCTGTTGGGCCTGGGTGCGGCCCGGCGCCGGGTCAGGAGGCGACATGGGAACAGCCCCCTGAGGTCCCCAGCCCACACCGTCCGGGGCCCCACACTGCCATCTGAGGCCGAGAGCGGCAGGGGGCCCCCCCCCCCCCCCGCCTCCCCGTGAAAGACGATCTCTAAGTGACAGGCGACTGTGGGTTCCTACGTTTTCATGCTAACAACGAGACAGGGCCAGGCTGAAGTAGCTCAGGGCAGCGGAGCGCCCAGAGGGGATCCCACTGCCCTCTCTGGAACACCGCCAGGGCCCGTCCGGCACCTTAGCCTCGTGATTTTCAGTCCCGCCGATGGCTGTCACCCCCTGAGGAAGGTGAGACTTGGCAGAGCGAAGCACTGAAGCACAGCTTCCCGATGACGGGGCCAGGATGACATGCAGGTGTGTGCGGCTCCAAACCCCAGCTCTAAGACACACCAGTGTGCTGCCCCAGGGGATGACGGTGGACAGACACAGGTGCAGATGGAGCAAGTCCCAGGCCGCGGCCACGACGTGAGCGGCTCACGCCTGCCCTGACTCGGGCGAGGTTGCTTCTAAGTAGAGTGACACTGCGGCCCAGCTTACCCGGGACGGTCCCAGTGTGATTATCAGCGGCACCCTCTTCGCCGGCGAAAGCACCCCGGTTTAGACAATAAGTAATACGGTCGCTCTGTTCGTAAGAGCCAAGCTTTGGGAAGTGAGGTAGATCGAAGGGCAGGTGGGGCCAAACATCCTCCTTGACCACGGGGGTCTCAGACCCGTGACCGTAACGAGGCCGCTCCGCACCCCTCTCTTCCCTACAAAGCCCAGAGCCGACACGAACACCTTCCAAGCCTCTCGAGAAGCTGATCGGGCAGGGGACCGTGACAGTGGGCCCTCCTCCCTCTGTCCTTCACACCCTCTCCCCACTTCCCAAACACGGCCTCCTGGCCAGGCGGCGGCTACCCAGGCTGAGGGGTGAGCCCACCCCGACCCTTACCTCACACTCTGCCTGACTGAGGAGGGGCCCCGGAGGAGTGGGGAGAGGGATATGCCATGCCGCTGGCGACAGTCCGAGCGAAGCCACTCCTCTCCAAGGATCTCAGTTAAACTTCAAAGCAGCTCGTTACCTGGCCCCAGACAAAGCCCGGGTCCCTGGATGCACAGCCCTCAGGTCGGCTGTGTCCTGGCGAGGAACTTTCCCGATGGGACTCACTCACATCCTGGTGTCCCATAACCATCGGGACCACTCACCAGCCCAGGAACCTCTGCCCACCCAACCAGAAGGAAGCCCCACTCACTGCGGATGAAGCTTGTAGAGTGTTCCATCCACCCCCACAGTCACACTGAGATGGTCCAGCCCTCTGTTCTCGCGGATCTTGTCCACCACGGCGGCCATGCCCGCACCACACAGCTGCGCGGCCCGTTTGGACACCACCCCGCACACGGTCTTGACGAGGATACTGTCGTCACAGGTGCTATTCAGGCCCAGCTGCTGGAGGATGGCCCGGACCTGGAGCAGTGCTAACCGGTCACTGTGGTGGACAAAAGCCAGGGGGGCTGGATGAAGTGGGACCCCCCAGAGCAGCCGGGGAGCCCACTCCAGAGGACCGGCCCCGAGTCACTGTGCTTACCACGAATAGGGTCATGGGGGCTTTCTTCCTCCAAAATAACTTTTGTTTATTTTTAAATAACAAAAGTATCACACGTGAAACTATAGAATATTTGGCAAATAGAGAAAAATAAAACTTGGAAAATTAAAACTATCCACCACACCAGGGGCGATTCTATTAACATCTGAACGTATTTCCTTCCTTCCGATCTACTTTTTTTTTTTAACGTTTATTTACTTTTGAGAGAGACAGACACAGAGTGCGAGTCGTGGGGGGGGCGGGCAGGGGCACAGAGAGAGGGAGACACAGAATGGGAAGCAGTCTCCAGGCTCCGAGCTGTCAGCACAGAGCCCAACGGGGGGCTCGAACTCACAGACCGGGAGATCATGACCTGAGCCGAAGTCGGACGCTTAACCGACCGAGCCACCCAGGTGCCCCCCAATCTACTTTTCCTAAATATCACTATCTTTGTTCTTACAATATGCAAAATGGGCTCATCTTTTATATGTGATTTTCTTGCCGACTTTTTTTCCTACTTCACACATGTGAGCAACTTCCCACATCCTTATCTGAGAACAGGACTGGAAACAGTGCCATGGCCTTCCACTCTGGGGACGCACCCTCATTTATTTAGTCAGGTTAGAGAAACTTGACGTTGATTGCAATTCTCTGCTATCGTGAAGTAACACTCTGACAAAGTTTCCCATTTACAAATCTTTGTGTGCAACTCTGATTTCTCCCTTAGGACACGTTTTTGGGTCAAAGGGATTTTGACACATATTGCCAAGTGCCTTTCAGGAGGTTGCATCAATTTCTTTTTTTTTTTCTCTCCCTCCAGCTGAGTTTTGGCTGTACTTGTCCCCAGTGGAAGGGATCATTTTTAAAAACATGGTAATGGGGGCGTCTGGCCGGCTCAGTCGGAAGAACACGTGACTCTTGATCTCTGGGTTGTGAATTTGAGCCCCGTGGTGGGTGTAGAGACTACTATAAATAAATAAGCTTTAAAAAAGGTGGTAATGGCGTGATACTGTAGTTTGATCTGAGCTCTTCTATTAGAAAGAATGACCGTTTTTTTTTTATTTTTTTTTAACGTTTATTTATTTTTGAGACAGAGAGAGACAGAACATGAACAGGGGAGGGGCAGAGAGAGAAGGAGACACAGAATCTGAAACAGGCTCCAGGCTCCGAGCTGTCAGCACAGAGCCCGACGCAGGGCTCGAACTCACGAACCGTGAGATCATGACCTGAGCCGAAGTCGGACGCTTAACCGACCAAGCCACCCAGGCGCCCCATGACCGTTTTTTAAAAATGTGTTTCTTGGTCACATGAACTACCTGTTAGGTCAAGGATAGTTGGGATATTTGTCTTGTTATTATTAAATTGAAAGAGATGGCAGTGACCAACAATGATGACAAGGGTGGTAAGAGCAGCCAGCCTTTTTTGAGGACGTAGCACACGACAAATGCTTTACATACATCACCTCGTTTTCTCTTAACAACTCACTGACACATGTAGCGTTATTCCTATTTTAAATATGAGGAGGGGCGCCTGGGTGGCACAGTCGGCTGAGCGTCCGACTTTGGCTCAGATCATGATCTCGCGGTTTGTGAGTTCGAGCCCCACATTGGGCTCTGTGCTGACAGCCTAGAGCCTGGAGCCTGCTTCAGATTCTGTGTCTCCCTCTCTCTCTGCCCCTCCCCCACGCATGCTTTCTCTCTCTCTCTCCCTATCAAAAATAAACATTAAAAAAAAATTAAAGATGAGGCAACTGAGGCTGGGTGAAACTGAGTAACTTACTCAAAGCACATATAGCCAGTGCAACACAGCGGGTCTCAAGACCGGTTCTGCCGAAGCTCCCCCCACCACGCCCCCACTCTGCATCTTGTCATTCATGGTGCAAATGCGTTCCTTAGTTTGCTCTTTGCCTTTTAGGTTTGGTTGCCATTTGTCTCTTTTTTTGGAGGGGGGCGTGCAAGTGAGCAAAGAGCAGAGAGAGAGGGAGAGAGAGAGAATCCCACGCAGGCTCCACACCGTCAGCATGGAGCCCGAAGCGGGACTCGGGCTCACAAACTGTGAGATCATGACCTGAGCTGAAGTCAGATGCTTAATCGACTGAACCACCCAGGTGCCCCCAATTTTTTTTTAACTTACATAAGCTATGTAGCTAAATTCTGCAATTTTTTCTTTACAATTTCTTTCTTTGCTATTGTTCTTTTTTAAATTCTAGTATCATTCATGTTGATATTATTCTTCGAAAGACCTTCCCCACCACTTCCTACCCATTAGGGTGGCTATAATTTAAAAAACGGAAAAAAATAACACGTGTTGACGAAGACGTGGAGAAAGTGGAACCCATACCGTGGGTGGGAATGTAAAATGGCTCAGCAACTGGAAACTGGAGAGCAGTATGGCGGTTCCTCAAGAGTTAAAAATAAAATGATTACATGAAATGTTGCTCACAACAGCCAAAAGTCCAAGCGTCTGCGGACAGATGAATGGATAAACAAAATGTGGTCTAAATGTACAATAGAGTATTTTTATCCTTAAAAAAGGAAAGAAGTTGTGACACGGGCTACCACATGAATGAACCTTGAGGACGTTATGCTAAGTAAAATAAGCCAGTCCCAAGAAGACAAACACTGTAGGATTCCACTTTCATGAGGGACCTAGAGCAGTCAGATTCAGAGACACAAAGTAGAAGGGTGAGCGCCGGGGGCTGGGGGCGGGACGAAGGGGGAGTTACTGTTTCATGGGTAGGGAGTTTCAGTTCAGGGTGATGAGAAGGTTCTGGGGATGGACAAGGGTGGTGGCACAACACTGCAAAGGAACTTAATGCCACTGCACTGTGCGCTTCGAAATGGCTGCAATGGTAAATTGCACGTTATGTATATTTTACAATTAGAAAATAGTAACAAGGGGCGCCTGGGTGGCTCAGTCGGTTGAGCATCTGGCTCTTGATTTCAGCTCAGGTTGTGATCTCATGGTGGGGAGATGCAGCCCATCGGGCTCGGCGCTGACAGCGTGGAGCCTGCTTGGGATTCTCTCTCTTTCCTTGTCTCTCTGCCCCTCCCCCGTGCTCTCGTGCTCTCTCTCTCTCTCAAAATAAATAAGTATCTTTTAAAAAATAAAATACAGTAAAAAAATGTGAACAAAAGTATTCACAGAGATATTGTTCTGGTTCTTCTAGACTCCTATCTTCCTCACTTAGCTCTTGGCTGCGCTCGGAATGAGCGAGAGGTGAGAACGGTTTCCCCATCTGTAACGAGCACACGGCACCGGCTGCTGCCTCTCCCTCCCCCACTGCTGTGAAACGCCGCCAATCGGTGCGCTGCAGCCCGCCGGTGTCCAGGTTCCAGGGCCTTCCGTCTGCTGCTAGCGCTTCACCGCTTTGGTTCTGGTGGCCAGTGAGTTTGACATGCAGGTTACAGATGCAGGCACCGGGGAAAGCAAGGAGCAGGCTCCAGCGCAGCCAACGTTAATGTCGCTTTTGTGGCCATTCTACAAATAAGGTGGCTCTGGCATAACCACCTTTGCAGAGCACCCCGCACCCTGTCTCACGGCTCACCACGGGAGAGGGCAAAGGCAGGGACAGAGAGATCACTGCACACGAGAAAACGGGAGGAAGGCAGAGCAACTTGGTGGGGGCCGTGCCTACTGGGGGACTAAACTGTGCGATCCCAAGCTGCCTTTCAGATGAATGCGGTGGGACTAGAGCCCTGGTTCCTGGCTCTACTGGACCCCGTGCCCTTCAGCACGGGCTCTAAAATGCACCTTTGCTGTCCTGAAATGGAGTCTATAACCTCAGACACATGACCTCAGACAAATATATATAAAGCTCCCACATAAAGAATGAATTAAAAGGAAAATCATGGATAATAAAACTTTATGATTTCAATATGTAGCTGCTCAGGGGCTACTACTCCGGAGCGGGGTGAGGGGGGGACCCCCTCACAAATGACAAAATGTCCCCTGAGGTGCCTCCATGCCACACGGACCTCTAGCAGGCCTGCGGGGAAGCCCTTCATCACTCACCTCTCAATCTGGGAGAGATATTTGGTCTGAAAAATGCCGCGAGTCTTCAGTGGCTCAGAGATCTGCCCTCGGAAGAGGAACCCCTTCTTGGTGAAGTCGATCAAGATGTTGCGGACGATCTCACCCAGGTACATACCGCTGATCATCTTCTCAAACCTGAAACAGGAGCCGAGGCGGGTGTCCCTGTGAAGCCTTTGGTCTCCCAGTAGCCCCGGGCATCTTCCTGCCCTTCGGGGGCATCACCAGCCTGTGCACCAGGCCCTGTGCTCCTCAGCAGAGGCAGAGAGAGGCCAGGAAGTGCTGAGAGATCCTCAACCCTCCCCAGGATCAGAAACGAAACCACCAGGGGCGCCTGGGTGGCTCAGTCAGTTGAGCGTCTGACTTCGGCTCAGGTGATGATCTCACAGTTGGTGGGTTCGAGCCCCACGTCGGGCTCTGTGCTGACAGCTCAGGGCCTGGAGCCTGCTTCGGATTCTGTGTCTCTCTGTCTCTCTCTCTGCCCCTCCCCCACTCATGCTGTTTCTCTCTGTCTCAAAAAAAAATAAACATAAAAGCAAATTTTTTTTTTAAAGAAACGAAACCACCAGCGTTCGCATCTAGCTGCTGGACGGTCTCCCTCCTCGCCTGCCCTCCTACCTTTGCCTGGCAGAACCCGCTCCAGCTGTCGGCTCAAAACTCTCCTCCCTGAGGCCTGTCCTCCTCCCCGCACCAGGTTCTATCTGCCTCTCTCAGGCTTCCACTTCCGTACACCCTCCCTTCTTCACAAGGTACACGGGCACACTGCACTCATGGTCTGCAGCGAAAGCCTGGAGAGGCTGGAGCATGTGTCCTGCTCAACTTGGAGGCCCAGGGCCTAGCACAGCCCAGTGCTACGCTCTCAGTCGAGTGCTCAATAAATATCTGCAGAATAAGCAACCAACTGGTCTGAGTCTTAAAGGGACAAGAAGACAATGAAGGGACAATTCCTACTAGATTTTTGGAAGGTTTTGAAAAAGCCCAGAGTACCAGTCAAGCCCCCAGCACAGGGATGAAGCCACACACGGGCTGGAGGGCTCAAACAGCTACCGTACTCCTGAGGGCAACCTGTTCCCGGGGCTTTTAACTCCAGCTCTCGCCATGCTCAAGAGCCTCAGAAATGACAAGGGATTTAATGTTTATTTATTGACTTTGGGGTGGGCAGAGAGAGAGGGAGAGAGAATCCCAAGCAGGCTCCGTGCTGACATGTAGCGCCCAAAGTGGGGCTCAAACTCATGAACCGTGAGATCATGACCTGAGTTGAAATCAAGAGTCAGACGCTTCACCAACTGAGACACCCAGGTGCCCCGAAATGACAAGGGATTTAAATGCTTCCATGGCACATGCCCGGTCCCAGTGTCCCCAGACTGGGAAGAGTCCGCTGGGTCCTCCAAAAGATTTCAGGTGGTTCGCAGAAAAATCATGATTGCACTATTATGATCAATTTCCATCCAGTCCTTCTCACACCATCCAGAATGCCATCTCAGTACAGGCTGACGAGGCTTTAACCCCTTCCATCACCTGCTACTTCCCAGCTACCAAAGGGGGGGTCTTCGTTTAGACTCTTTGGTAGGAAACAGGAGCTAGACTCGAATGATGCTGACCTTCCCTAGATTCACTTTATGATTATCATCTATGATAACGCTCGTGTTCCCTTCTTTCTCTGGTTAAACTTACATCAAAAATATAAGCTGACTTAAAGAAAGACATTAAGTAAATAACAACACAGGTGGTATTTGGAAAAAGCAAGAATCTTGAGGGTAGCTGGAGAACAGCTCCTATGTGGGAGGTGATGCCCCCCCCTCCCCCCCACCAGCCGCCATTCCTTCTGTCTGCTCCTGGGGACACGGCTCGGACCAAGTCAATCCTGGTGACAGCAGAGGATGGCCTGAGTCCTGGGAGCCTGAGACAAGGAGTCATCTGTGTCTACGCAGGGAGGACAGATACTGCCATCTCAGGGACAGTCTCTGGGACCCAAGCTCCAAACAGCCACGAGGCAGTGCAGGAGGCTGGGGGAGGATGAACAGAGCCGAAGCCCCTCAACCCCACTGGCCACATCCTAATTTACCTTGACCTTTGACAACTGCAGGTCAAGTGTGTTTTACTTCCACTAAATAAAACAAAACCCTGCTGACCAAGAGGTTTCTATTAGTCTGCTGGGGAAGAAACACAGAGCAACGGGAAGGCCAGAATGTTCCAGGATGAACATGATCGCTGAGGGAAGCGGTGTGGCCACTGCCACCTCGTCCTCTGGGCGTACTCGGGCAGAGGCGGCACGACACCAGGACGTCAACTTGGGCCCACTCGTATCAAGGCGGCAGCCCGTCCTCCTGGTTCTCTGCTCTCCTTGAACCAAAAGCAAAGGTCAGGAGGGAATCTGAGGGACTAGTCTCCACGCCTCTGTCCCAGACTCCTCTCCTACTAGAAACTTCTTCCACTGAAACAGACCAAATGCAGCCTTAGGCCCTCACCGTCCCTTCTTCCTCTACCAAGCACCATTACCTTTGTTTTCCAGCGTTTAGAGAATATTCATCCACCAGTCTGTCATAGAGAGTTCTGATGTCATCGAGACACCCGTTGTCCCCAAAGGCACCCCACTCCATGTTGATGCACATTCGCCCCTCGTCCCCCTCCAGCATCTCGACATTCTTCATTTCTTCCATGTAGCAGGCGTTGCTGCCAGTCCCTGCAACACACAAGGAGGGGGATGAATGGCTGTGCCACCGTGCCCGGGGAGGCGGGGAGGCGGGGAGGCAGGGAGGCTCCGGGGCCTGGGGCTCCCCAGGTACGGGATACATTTTTGAGACGAATAAAGCAACAGCTTCGCTTGCCTCAGGTTTTTCAGGGAAACCTCAAAATACAAAAGGAGAGTCAGAGAGCATCCGATTAGACGTCAACATCAAGAGCCTCGTGTGTTTACCTGCCCAGGCAGGGCCATATATACCTTAATGGAAGACGGTGTTCCAACAGGGCCCTGTGTCTTCAACGGCAAAAGTTTAGGCAATATTCAAGTTGGAGGGACATTGCCTTCTCTCTCCTCTCCACACACACAACTGTGTACACATGTGCATGTATGTAAAACATTACACTGGAGGTTGTCTACTATCATCCATGAAAGTCTGCTTATCTTTACTGATCAACCATGGTCACGGGCTATGCCTGCCCAGTCCACCCTCCCGTGCGTACCAGAATGAAGCCCACAGTTGGTTCAGGGAAGGCCAGCGTCCTCAGCACGTCAGTGGCACCTTTCTAAAGGTGACACCATTTCAGTGTCACGGCCCTCTCTGAAAATCAGAGGGTTCTTCTGAGAAAAGGAACACTTCTCCAGATGCACACATTCTGCATGCACACAATCTGACGGACATACAGTTTCCAGAGGCTCTGAGCCTCTGGTCTCCATCCCTGAACTCCCCACAACAGGGCTACTGAGGCTGTGGCCCCGCAAAGACCGGGGTGACACCACAAAGGGTTTGCAGGTCTCGCCCATGAGGAGTTAAGTGTAGAAACAGAGAGGAAGACTTCTAAAATTTTCACAGCAGGGGTGCCCGGGGGGGGGCTCACTCGGTTAAGCGTCCGACTTTAGCTCAGGTCATGATCTCGCTGTTTGTGGGTTCGAGCCCCACATCGGGCTCTGTGCTAACAGCTCAGTGCCTGGAACCTGCTTCAGATTCTGTGTCTCTCTCTCTCTCTGCCCACCCCTGCTCACGCTCTCTCTCTCACTCAAAACTAAGCATTTTTTAAAAATTCCTTAAAATTTTCACAGCAATTTCAAGTGCCATGACATCCAAGCCTGTGGTCATTGGCCTTGTCTCAGTGAACGGACTAGAAATTTTATTTTATTTACTTTATTTTTTAATGTTTTTATTTATTTTTCAAAGAGAGAGAGAGGCAGAGTGCGAGTAGGGGAAGGGCAGAGAGAGGGAAACACAGAATCCGAAGCAGGTTCCAGGCTCTGAGCTGTCAGCATACAGCATGACGCAGGTCCCGAACTCATGAACCCTGACATCATGACCTGAGCCAAAGTCGCTGAGCCACCCAGGTCCACCCTGCCCGCACTAGAAATTTTAAAACCAACCAACTAACTAAGGAATACTTCCCACAGACACTTTCATATGCACCTCTGATCACCTGGGGAGCCTGTTAAGATGCAGATTCTGATTCAGAAGGTGGGGCTGAGACTCTGCATTTCTAACACGCCCCGCCCACAGGCGACGCTGCTGCCTGCTGCTGCTGGCTCGAGGTCCACACTTTCCGTCACAAGTGCCACCAGAGTGCCACCAACCCATCCTAGGTGGGATGCAGACGGACCTTCGACACCCTTGGGGGACACAAGGCCATTCCCACTGGCTAGATCAAAAGGGCTTTGATTGTTTTCATTCCCCTTTAAAGAAAGGAGTAGAATTCGCAGATGCTTCTCCCTGGGTAACTGGATTATTCTTAGGTTTTGTTTTCTCTGTGCCCCTTCACCGCAAAGTAGGAAACTGAGAGAAGAGAAGCCCCAGAAATGGCAAGGGGTGCACAGAAAGCCAAAACACATAGATCATACTTCTCGCCAGTGGGTGTCGGAAGACATCGATGGATGAAGAGAGAAAAAAGCAGGTGTGAATGAATGCAGCTGGAGCCGTGGAGAACCTCCACCAGCTCGCTCTGGTGCCAGAAATGGCTAATCGGCGGCCCTGAACTGGGCAGGAAGGCCAGGCCCGGCCGGACAGTGGGAATGTGCTGTGTCACTCTGGATTTACAAGGCACACTTAAGCCCATTCGTAAGCAGAAGAGCAGGGCTGCGTGGGGAAAGAGAGGTCTGCGAAAGAAAGGAAGAAGCAACAGAGCTCCGGAGCCGGGCCCCCACAACCTTTCACCTGCAGCTCCTCCCTGGTTTTCTGAATTTCCTCTGGAGCCGAAAATGGCTTCACAAATGAAAAGGTCTTCGGGCACCAGGAAGGCAGCCTGTGGGGGCCTTATCCCAATCTCCCAGACACTTGGCACCCAGTCTGCCACGGGGCTGCCTGCCACCCTTCCTTGTCCGGGTGGGGCCCGCATCAGTTGGCCAAGAAGCAGGGCCTTCCAGCATCCTGACGCCAGGAGCAGGCTCAAGTGGACAACTGGTCTTCTCTCTCGCAGCGCAAATCAACATGCTTCAGGAACGATGTGCTCTCAAGCCCAGGCCCCTGACGTGTTTGGACTATAAGGGAACAGCACCCTCTCTGCCGCCCACTGAAGTGGCTGGCATTGCTCACAGACAGTGGCTGCCAAAGGCAAAATGGTGCCCGAGGCTCCTCTCTGGCCTTTTCCCACAGTCAGGGGAGAAGGAGGGCTCTGCTGCCTTCCCAATGGCGGGCCCCGACCCCACAGCACCCACCCGCTGGCCCTCTGTACACGCCCGGCATTGCCCTGATGGCCGGGCCAGCCCCGGTGTTCCCACCCTGTCCACCCAAGCCATGTGAGCCATTCAGAGCCTCGTTCCCAGAGAGCTCCGTTTCTGAGCTGAGTCTGGTCATAGCCTTGGGGTGAGTGTTGGGGAGCAGAAAGTCCCCTGGAGAGCTCTGTGACATTGGTCCAAACTCTGAAGGTGGCACGGAGACAACAGTGACAGATAGTGTCCCACGCAGGGACTGAGCTGCTGGCTCAAGGTCCCACAGAACAGGAAAACCCAGCCGTCCCTGCCCCAGAGACAGACTTTCTGGGACACCCACCTACGATGAGTCCAACCTCGCAGGTAGGCTCTTCATAAGCACAGGTCATCATGGTGCCCACCGTGTCATTGACCACAGCCACCACGTCCAGGTCAAATTCCTTCGGAAAGAAAGGGACACAGCTTTAGGGGAGGGACAGCGCCGCCTGATGCATCCTCCAGAATAGTTTCCTTACCAGACTTTAAAAAGCTAATTAAATGTTCCACTGACTAAACACCTACTATTAGTGCTGTATCTGAAATCTGAGATCTAAAGAAAGTATTCTCCCCATTTCACAGATGATGCTGAGTACTGGCGAGGCAGCCTGGAGGGAACTGCCGTGTGGAGAAAAGCCAAGCGACGGTGGCCAAATAGCTCTCTCTGTCCTAGGAGTGTAGAGTGTGACAGTCTTTCAGAAGGCAAAACAGAAACACCAAATCCATTTCTCAGAATCTGTCCTTCAGATAGAGCCATGCAGGTACCCAAAGATACTGCATGACTTACACGGGCCCAAAAGAGAAACCATCTAAATACAGAATCGAAAGGGGCGACATAAAACACGGGTTCTAGCAAACACCGGCATCCTGTGCGGCCAAGGAAAAGAATGGGGTTGGTCTCTAGGTAGTGACAGGAAAAGATGCCTGTTTCCTATCAGAGGAAATACGCAGGTTGTATATACAGCAGGATTCCCACTACAAAATGTGTGTGTGGTGACATACGCACAGAAAGTAAACTGGAAGAATGCCAACATTCGGGGCTGTGAAATGGGCCCAAGTAGGCCATCAGGTTTCTCTCCAAAGGGATATAGGCTGTCTAGCATATTCTGCCAGGTGTGACCAATCCCTCTTTCAAAAAGCCATTCACGCCAGCCTTCCCCACCACCTGGTCATTTGTCTGCTCTTTTGAACTAAAGTAAGCAAGCCAGGGGGCACCTGTGTGGCTCAGTCGGTTAAGCGTCCGACTTTAGCTCAGGTCATGATCTCGAGGTTTGTGACTTCGAGCCCCGCGTCCGGCTCTGTGCTTGATGTCTCAGAGCCTGGAGCCCGCTTTTCAGATTCTGCGTCTCCCTCTCTCTCTGCCCCTCCCCTACTCGTGCTCTCTTTCTCTCTCTCTCAAAAAATAAACATTAAAAAAAAAAAATTTAAAGTTAGTTATTCGACTAATCCCTTCGTTAATGAGTTCATCTCTAGAATCCTTCATTTTGTTTTGCCAATGTCCTCCAGCCAAAGAGCAGAGACACGCCTACAGGCAAACAAAGCTGGGTACATCGACTGCTTGCAACACGGGCGGCACATCTTGTGGAGCATCTCAGAACGAGCTAGAAAGCATTCACGGCGGACAGGACCCAAGCCCAGGTCGGGGGCTTTCGGGAGGGTTCAGAGTGGGGCTGGCTCTGGATTGGATGCTGTCTGGAAGCAGGGCGATTCTGGGTGTGTGCGGAGTTCTGACATGGTATAGATTTGTCTTATTCTTGTGTAATTCCGTCACAGTCATGGAGTGAAACTGGTGTCCAACAGGAGGGCGCCAAGGCTGACTGACAGCACCAGGCTGGGCCCAGCTGCTTTTCTTTTCCAAGCTGTAGGAGGATCGTGATTTCACCTTTCTTGGACTACCCTTCAACAACACAAAACCGTTCACCTCCGCTTTACTGCTGACAGTGTGGGGAATTTCTAACCCAGGTCACATGCTTCTGCATTGTTTGAATTCTTTACGACAAGCAAGTACAATTTTTATAACCCCCAAAAAACAGTGAAGATTTTTTTTTAAACATCCTTTTAATAGTCACCTCTCGGGGCGCCTGGGTGGCGCAGTCGGTTGGGCGTCCGACTTCAGCCAGGTCACGATCTCGCGGTCCGTGAGTTCGAGCCCCGCGTCAGGCTCTGGGCTGATGGCTCAGAGCCTGGAGCCTGTTTCCGATTCTGTGTCTCCCTCTCTCTCAGCCCCTCCCCCGTTCATGCTCTGTCTCTGTCTGTCCCAAAAATAAATAAACGTTGAAAAAAAAAAAAATTAATAGTCACCTCTCTCCTTTTGATCGCATCCCTTAGTAAGGTTGCTACATCGTGCCCCACGCAGTCGGTTGCCTTAAAACCCTTCGTCCAGGTGATCAAGATTCCCTGAAACAGGAGAGGCACCAGGAGAATCCTGTGTAATTAGCCCGTATGAGTAGGATATAAAATTTCACTCCCTCCCTCCCAAGTATCTCCTGAGTATAGTGACACTATGCTAGGACATCTGAGGCACAAAGCAGTAAAACACAGGCAGTCCTCCGCAGGCCCGCCCTCTCCTAACCATCCCCATGGCGGTCTGGTTTATAATCCTCATTTCACAGATGGAGAAACTGAGGCATAGAAGGATAACGGTGCAGCCTCTGGTATAACCAACTAGTTCCCTTAAAGAACAGTTTGCCGACAACATAAATGGAGAAATGCAAATTTTCAGTGACTCTGTTACTGCCTAAAGTAAACTTCAGGTTTGAATGAAGCTATACTTCTGCTGGGTGTGTGCTCGGTACGATGAATACGGGTGACGGTGGAAGTGAATTCCTTAAAAAAACATCAGACCTTTAAGAGCTGCAAAGCACAAGTTTATATGGATCTAACTGCTGAGATCTAAACGAGCTCAAGAGGAAAAAGCCCCAAGTCAGCACAGGGACTTGATTAACTGGCTTCCAGAGGCAGGTGGCCTTCCCTGGCTTCCCTCGTGTTGCCAACCGACAATCGTAGGCCATAAACCCTGGCCTAGGGCTCTTTGTGACCTGATGCTCCCTCTAGGGCCTCCTCCCTGGCCATACCTGCACCTGTGACTCTACGAGGCCCCTGTGGCTCCTCCAGCGTGACTGGCTGGGTCCTGCCTCTGTGACTGCACACTCAGTTCCCTCTGCACCAGGTACCCCCCCCCCACCCAGCCCAGTGCTAAGAGGCAGGTGGAAGGCTGGGGTTCCATTAGACTGTTGGCCCCCTGAGGATGGGAACTGTCACCTTCTGCTCTGTACCCAGCGTTTAGTAAGTACTCAGCAGGTGCTCAAGCCCTGACCCTGGACCCTGTTTCATCCCATTTACTGAACAAACATTTATTAAGTATTTCCTCCGATAGAACTCTGTGCCAGGGCACGGGGGTCCTTGCTTAAGGAGCACCCGACATAGCAGGAAAGAAAGATGCAATCCGTAATAATTATGAGAAAAGTACTATCATCGAGGCAACATTCAAAGGATGAGGGGACACTGAGGAGGGTGAGACATTTTTGCCTGGAGGACCAGGAGGCTTTCACAAGGGGGGGGGGGGGGGACTCGCTCCACATGATAAAAGATGAGTAGAGTCTCAAGATGAACTAGAGGGCGTGACATAAAGCCTGGGCCAACCCGCTGTGACATGTGAGCCGTTCCCAACATCGAGGGGACAGTGAGCCTGGAGAAAGCCTCAAGAGCCAGCCCACTACAGGGTGGTCAGCGCCTCCCTGCTCCTACAGGGAAGAGACTTACCGCATCCAAGCTCGTCTGCTTGCAGGGGAATGAGAACGTGAAGCCAAGAGGCATTCTGGGGCCTTTGATCCCCATGTAGTCCAGGAAGTCGGAGATGCAGGAGACGATGTGGTCAAACAGCTTTAGAAGAAAAGAAGGGATGACCCGAGCTCTCTGGTTTCATGCTTTCAGTGCACACGTACAAGTGCACGTTTGCACACATACACACGCACGCACGCACACACCCTCCCGACACATGCAGAGCAAGTACCCCTCCGGGAACTTCGCAGTCCCCTGAACAGCATAAGCCCAGCATTGCCGAAAGTGCCTGATGCTTCCAGGCTACCAGGATACAACTGTAGAGCTGCATGAGCCACGTGGCAGGTTCTGGGGACCGCCAATGCCACTGGCCAGGTGATACGCGGGTGCCACCGTGGTAGAAAAGCAAAACCGTCTCACCTCTTCCCCAGTGCCCTGCATGATTTCAATGGGAATGGCATAGATCTTGTTGTGCATTTCCACCGTTCTCTTTTTCCCACTGCGGATTTTCACCAGTAAGACACGGAAATTCGTTCCTCCAAGATCAAGGGCCAAGAAGTCACCATGCTCTATTGCCGCCAAGAACATAAAGAACATCAAAAACAGCTAAGTGCCTCTTGGCAGCCAGTAACCCAAAGACTCGAGACTTTCGGGGTGGGGGGAGGGCTACATTAAATACGGGGGAGAAACTGTAAATCCTCCCTCTGGCACATCGCTCAGGCTCAGGGAGGGGCAGGCACTAACTCACTGCCCACCACAACCTTGGAGCCGCGCTAGAAGGACGAGAGACCCATGGATGAACCACCTGTCACAATAAACAAACAGAATTCTCCAGGGTTACTGAAAAGCTTGGCAACGATGACGCGATTTGAGGAAAGCTCGTACAAAAACTAGCAATTTACATCGGTGTGTAGAGGGTTTGCAAAAATGTGCACAGTCATTCTCTTCCCTGTGCTTTTCCTCTGCAAAGTGACTTTGCAGCCCTTCCCATCAAAAGATGGGAGTCTATTTCTGCTCCCCTGGGCTCTGGCCCAGCCTTATGACTGGCTTTGGCCGACAGAGTGTGGCAGAGGCGAAACTGAGCCAGTCCCAGCCTCGGCCTCCAAGAGGCTTTGAAGTCGGTCCTCTCTTTCACGGCCCCTGCTGCTACCATTCGAACAAGCCCGGTGGCCTGCCGGAGGATGAGACACGTGGCCAGGTACGGCTGCGCTCCAGCTGACTGCCAACGGTCGGACGCGGGAGGGAGGCCTCTGAGCTGACCCACCAGTGACTACAGACTCATGAATGAGTCCAGCAGAGACCAGCTGAGCCTGGCCCAGAGGAGCAACAATCGGTGGTTGGTATTTTAGCCTCTAGGTTTGAGGGTGGTTTATAAAGCAATACTATAATGCCACAACAAGGAACTTGTACGTAGGACCTAATTCCTATCACAAATACTCATTATTTCCAGGACGCACCCGAGAAGCCCCTCAGAGTCTCCACAGGGCTCAGCCCCAACTCAGGACCGGCAAGGTCGGGTCAAGGGTTAGATTCTGTTCTCCAACCTGCCTGGGTGTGCAAAGCCCCAGGCCTCTGTCTGCCCCCAGCACACCGTGTCAGGACTTAGGAAGGGAGCGCCGGGTACCTTTCCTTCCGCGGCTTAACCGGTGTGTGCGAGAGAACCCACAGCAATCTCGGTGCTGTGGGAGAGGCCCGGTTTTGTTCTTTAAAGAACACTTTCTAATTGTGAGCCGGACTGTGGTTTTCGAGATGGTGCCTGCCTGGGAGGCCAGATCCAGGGAGAGTTAACTGCCCTGAGCCACACACGGGGCAAGTCGGTGGTAAAGATGGAAGACAGAGGTTCTGAGTGAGTTTTCCAGCTCTTGCCAAAATAAACACACCCACTGGAGAGGCCAACCTCCCTCCGCCCCACTCGGTCGCTGGTAGGAGAAGCAGGAGGGGTATGCTGGTCCCCAGAAGAGGCCCTCACCGGTCCCGTCTGGAGTGCTCCGGACGAAGGAAGGCAGCATCTTGACTACGGCCTTTTCGTGCGTCTGTTTCCTCAGGCCCATGTCCATCTCGGCCCGCATTCTCTTCTTCACCTCCAGCAGCATATCCTTGGTGAGGCGGAAGTGGGCCAGGGTCTCCTCGATCTGCCGGTGCTGCTCGGCCAGGCGGTAGGCCACCGCGGTGACCATGGCGGCCCCCTTCCCGCTGCCGCTCTCCGAGAGGAGGAAGCGCACATCGGAGTCGGGCACCAAGCGCCTCAGAGTCTTGTGGAAACGTCGTGAATACCTGGGGGGGGGGGGGGGGCGGGGGGCGTGCCACAATAGTTAGACTGCGCCATCTGTCAGGGACCTCTGCTTCCCCTTCCTTTCCCACACCTTAATTCCGTTTTCTAGAACTGATTTGCTCATGCCCCAAGTCATACACATGCACTGTAGAAAAGCTCTGGCAAATGCAGAGGAGTAAGAAGGAAAAATGAAATAGTCACACGCAGAAACAAGGACTCTCATTAGCAGCCCGGTGTTTGGGAATCAGATGCATCAGGAGACAAAGGTGAGCTCTCCAACTTCCACCTCAGGTGACCTTGGGCCTGTGACTTCACCCTGGAGTCCAGGAGGACTGACACTATCTCCAGACAGTGGTGGGGTAGGCACTGACTTCGTCAACAGCTCAGACTGGTTACTGGCGCTGGGGACAGGCTCCACAATCACTCATAACCACTCTTGTTTTTTTTTTATTTTCACCTGCCCTTTCCCTCTGCCCCCAAGGGTCTGGACATTCTCTATTGGCTAGAGGAGGACTTTAGGACAGGACTCAATGAGACACAGAGCCTCCGCAAAATTTATGGTCGGTCATCAGGATGGAAGGCTGCCTGCCAAGGGAAACAGGGAAACCAGAACCCCAAATATTAGCAGTGATCAATGCCAAGGGGCAGGACTAAACGTAACTTCTACTCTCTTTGTCATTTTGTGAACTATCTAACGTTTCTGTGTACCAAATAGACGATACTCCTAAAACAAAACGCATTTAATCAACATTATCGTTTAAAAGGTGACCCTGGGGGCGCCTGGGTGGCTCAGTCGGTTAAGCGTCTGACTTCAACTCAGGTCATGACCTCACGGTCGTGAGTTCGAGCCCCGCGTCGGGCTCTGTGCTGACCGCTCAGAGCCTGCAGCCTGTTTCGGATTCTGTGTCTCCCTCTTTCTCTCTAACCCTCCCCCCGTTCATGCTCTGTCTCTCTCTGTCTCAAAAAATAAATAAACGTTAAAAGAAAAAAAATTAAAAGGTGACCCTGTCAGTGACAAGTTCTGGGGGTGGCTGGTGGGGCTGGTCGTCCAATAGTGGGAATGTACTTAACACTTCTGAACTGTACGCTCAAAAGCGGTTAAGATAGTAAATTCTAGATTGTGTATTTTCCCACGATTAAAAACAAATTTTTTTTAATGTGATGTTACAAATCCCTAAGCTTTCTTGTCCATACATTTGCCGAGAAACCACCCACCCCCCCCAAAAAATGATAGCTAGCTCCATTATCGAAAATTTTACAAATACTTTAAAAATACGAAGGAATAAAACTACGAACCTAACGGACAATAGCATCTGACTAGCTCAAACCCTGCCCCCTCGTGACAATGATTTCCATTTAAGTCAACGTTTATTATTCAGCGCCCGCTAGAACTGGAGTGAGGGCGTCACAAGGCCACTCTATGTACGCTTCGTATATATGGTGGCCAAGTACCTGAGGTCCTGCACGAAACTCACGTCAAAGGGAGCTGTTGTTAAAAGCTAGTCTATAATTATAGACGCAGAATTTCACCTTTAGCCTTTAAAAAATGTGCAAGCCGTGTTCGTGGTACCACAAAAGGCTTCTGCAGCTAAGGCGTTCACTACACCAGGAGGCAGCACGGTGACTGCCCCTCATCGTCAACAGGGGCCATTTACAACTTCTAGCTCCCTCCGGCTCTCCACTCTCAGATGCAAAATGTCAACAAGCTGCCCGTTTAAAAAAGGCACGTCTGAGGGGTGGGGGGGGGCCTTTCACAGGAGCCTCTAAAACAAGAATGTGGGCATTGCACCCTTGACCCGAGCTACAGTGAGGATGAAGGTTGTTGACGAAATATGAGTAAGCAAGAGGATTTAAGATACAGACATGTTCCACCCAGCGCTCCTGGTAGCTACAGAAATCCCCAAAAAGACTTACGAAATGAGACTTGACAGTCCAGAAGCAACACCAGGAGAACGGGCTGAGGGCCAGATACTTCTCAAGTGGGCAATTCTGACCTTCCTGCCCAGAACTAGATACAATCTTGTATGCCAAAAACCTTCACTGGGTGCAAAAGTCTGACCTTTGGAGGAGGTCCTTAGCCCAGATGGGCACTGAGCACCAATGATAGCAAAGGGCAGACTCACTGTGGGTGCGTCTTGTAAAGAGACCCGTCGACACCAACCGTGGTCCGCAGCCTGGGTGTGCCCTTGTTATCTCGAAGGCGGTTCAAGATGGCGCCCAGCGTTGCAGCCACCAGGTTGGCAGAGCGAAATGAGACAATGGTACACACGTGCTGGACTGAAATACAGTCGTCATCAGATGGCTCCACTCCCAGGCGGGTCAGGATTTCTTTGGCATTGTGGAGGCCTTCCTTATTCCTGTGAGGTCAGAGGCCAATTAACCGTGGGTTAAGGACCACATCAGGCAGTGCAAAGCACTGAGGTTCGAAAGTGCTGGAAAGGTGAGGGGCGCCTGGGGGGCTCAGTCAGTTAAGCGTCTGACGTTGGCTCAGGTCATGATCTCACAGCTCGTGAGTCTGGGCCCCGCTCTGTCAGCACAGAGCCAGGAGCCTGCTTTGGATTCTGGGTCTTCCTCTCTATCTGCCCCTCCCCCACTCGTGCCCACTCTCTCTCTCTTCAGATTCTGTGTCTCCCTCTCTCTCTGTACCCACCCCCACCTCGTGCATGTGCCCGCACGCGCTCTCTCTCTCTCTCTCTCTCTCTCTCAAAAATAAGCATTAAAAAAATTTTAAAGAAAAAAAAGTTGTATGGTATGGAATTAAGACATCAAATGCCTGAGAACAGGAGGAGGAGTCTACTCTGTAAGAAATACCAGGTAATAGGAGAAAAAATAGCAGTAGGCCGGGTTATGACACGCCAGGCACACGGAGAGAGGTGGAGAGGCGAGACATAGCTGCCCACCCCGGAGCTCAGTGCTTAGGAGACCCAGGGAGACCGCTGGCGCTTGGGGTCTGCGAGTTGCCCTGGGAGGCTTACACTCCCTTGAGGTTTTCCAGTCAAGTTTTAATTTTCTACGTCCACGTTTTGTTATCTTTTGTTAGATTCGTTCTGAGGTACTTTGTAATTTTTTTACTATTACAGAAGACATGGTGTAGATGGCATAAATTCACGTGTATATATCTTTTGTTCACTTTAACGTAACATAGTAACGTAAGATGTTAATATGGGGGAAACTCAGGCAGCCATATGGGCAAACACTCAGCACCGTCTCTGCAATATTTCTGTAAGTCTAAAACTATTCTAAAATAAAAGGGTTATTTAACATTTTAATTATTGCCAATATATAGAAATATAATTGACTTTGGCATCTCCTCTCCAGACGATTCCCTTACCTCTCATTATTCTATTCACTCCTCTAGATATTGTTGGTGTCCCATACACACAATTAACATCTGCAAATAATGATACTTTTACTTCCTCTTTTTTTTATTCTTAAGCCTTTAATTTTTCTTTTTTTTTTTTTTCTTTTTCAACACTGGCTACGACTCCAGACAATGCTAAATAAAAATGGGGGATCCTCTCTTACTCCCGATTTTAAAGAGAATGCTTTGAACGTCTGTCTGCCCTGGTAGGATGCTTAGGTTTTGTTGAGAAAGCCTTTATTCCAATACACACGCTTTCCTGAGCTAGCTCAAGTGGGCTTTTGTTTCGTGGTAACCAGTGGGCCAACACCAGAAGCAGGCCAAAAGGAAGGCATTTCCTGACTCTGTCGATGACTTTGAGGGCATGCCATGAGCCTCCTGCCCCCTCCCTTCTCAGTAGCCAGCGCGGAGGCTGGAGGAGAGAGGTGGCTGGGAACTCAGTATCATGGCGCCCCGCTGTCACCAGCTCTCCCCTGGTAGTTCCCGAAGGAGAGCGATCCTCAGGTAAATGCCCGTACATGGATGTGGCAGAGGAGTACGTCCACATAAATCCCGTCCCATCTCCTCAGCCTCCTTCTCTACCTGCAGACAGCTCATAGGCATCTCCTCCCAGGAGCCAGAGCTAGGAAGCCACTGGTTCGATCAGAGTCTCCAGGACCACCGCAGGGCGGTGGCAATGACAGCTTCGTACAGAGATGAAAGGCCTTCTCCAGCACCAAGCTAGCCCTATCTTTCAGCAGGTGGCCTCACCTGGCTACATGTCTCCGAACCAGGAATAGAGCCTGGTGGCATACGGAGGCCGGCCACAAGAAAGGAGTCCTTCAGACTTGCAGGTGCCCAACCACATCAAACGGCTGTGGGATCAAGTTTACCCTCTTCCCTCTCAGGGTGAAGGCCCGCAAGTAACAGTCAAGGCAGAGAAATCCGGGTTTCTCAAGTTGAGGCCGAAAGGTAGCAGTCAGGTCTCTGGCTGGACTCCTTCCTCCCATGTCGATCTGCCCTGTCTCAGCTGTTAATCGATGTTTCCCAAACTTGTGCCAGGGAACATGTCTGGCGGTTAACAGGTGAGAGAATTGGGGGGAGTAGTGGGAGGGCATTTCAGGCATCAAAGAAGTTTGGGAAATTATAAGTTAGCCAAAGTGAACTGGGCTCTCTTTACCATGCTAATGAGTACTGTAAATCTCTAAATGGAGGATTTAGTAATTCCTGATTCTTCACGGAATACCTTATCTTGAGATCCCCAGGGTTCCCTGGAACACAGTCTACAGAAGGTCCTACTATGTGCAGGGAGGCTTCCAAGCCCAGGCCCCGGGCTCAGTGAGCGTCTCGTTCACCACTGGAGTCATCTACTCCCTGGGCTCTAATCTCCCCTGTGTGTGCAGGTGGGGATGGGGAGGGGCTGGAGCGAAGGAAAAGAGAAAGCCTTGAGGGGCGGCACCTACTTTTCAATGGCTGACACATCACTGGTCTTGAACTTCCCCCTGGTGAGCAGCTCCGGGGTGATCCGTCCTTCAAATAAGAGGCCCTCCTTGGCCATCTTGACCAGGATCAATCGAACCAGCTCTCCCAAGTACATGCCACTCACCATCTTCTCAAACCTGCAGGAGAAAAGTGTGTGGCACCTGTCAGGTCCTTCCTACGTGGGTACCCCAGGGGCAGCTCGTGAGGAATAGGACAGACAGAGGGGAGGGAGAGGGAGCCACCGCCTCGGGCTTCTGAGCTCATGGTCCTGCCGGCAGGCAAAACCACACACAACCGTGTGACTAAATGGTGACTGATGGGACAGCAGTGGGGGAGGGGTGACTCCTCTAGACCCCACACCTATCCCTAGGTGGACAGAGGAGGTAAGCAGGGACAGGCGGGGAAGGCTGCCTGGAGGTGAGACTGGGGATGACGAGGAGGCCCCCAGACAGAAATGAGAATATGATCATTTCTTATAAAACTCTATGCTCTGCCTTTTATTTTTTATTTTTATTTATTTGTTTTTCTTTTTAAAGTACGCTCCACGCCCAGCACAGAACCCAACATGGGGCTCAAAACCACGACTCTGAGATCAAGACCCGAGCTGAGATCAAGAGTCAGACGCTTAACCGACGGAGCCACCCAGGCGCCCCTTTGCTATACTTTTTATTTTTATTTTTTATTTAAAAAATGTGTTTAGGGGCGCCTGGGTGGTGCAGTCAGTTAAGCGTCCGACTTCAGCCAGGTCACGATCTCACGGTCCGTGAGTTCGAGCCCCGCGTCAGGCTCTGGGCTGATGGCTCAGAGCCTGGAGCCTGTTTCCGATTTTGTGTCTCCCTCTCTCTCTGCCCCTCCCCCGTTCATGCTCTGTCTCTCTCTGTCCCAAAAATAAATAAACGTTGAAAAAAAAAAATTAAAAAAAAAATGTGTTTAATGTTTATTTATTTTTGACACAGAGAGAGAGAGACACAGTGTCAGCAGGGGATGGGCCAAGAGAGAGGGAGACACAGAATCCAACGCAGGCTCCAGGCTCTGAGCTGTCAGCACAGAGCCTGACGCGGGGCTCAAACTCATGAACCGTGAGATCATGACCTGAGCCGAGGTCGGACGCTCAACCGACAGAGCCACCCAGGTGCCCCTTTGCTATGCTTTTTAAAGGGTTTTCGTCTCCATCACTCCACTAGGGAGGCTCCAAGCCCTGAGAGAAGGGAGGTGGCTGGGGAACATTCTCTCCATTTCCCAGCTCAGTCAGAACAGGTAAATGCCTTCTCTGAGGGAAGGCTGAGTAGACGATGGGGCTGAAACACAGCCATTTCCCATGGGACTCCTGTCACCGGCCACCTCCCTGGCATCCATGTTCCCCTTCCCTAGCCAAAAGGAGCAAAAATTTGCTTTGGGGTGCCCATTCCTCTCCCACTGACCTCACCCTAAATGCCAGGGGAGGGCTCTGAGTAGCTTAAAGCCAATCAGCTCATCCCGCTGCTCGGGCGGCGCACAGCCACGGGCCAGTCACAGAGCGAATCGCCTCTCTTGTGTCCCTGGGCAGGGGTGGCACGAGGCGTGGGCTCTGTAACTGCAGCGGCCACCTTGACCCCGACGCTGCAGAGGAGAGGCTACCACGGACCAGGGCTCTGCGCCACACCTGAGCCAGACTCAGGCCCCGAATGCTGGCTGGGTGGGGCCCAGGAGGAAGCCCTGAGCCGGACAGATCAGAGAGGCAGGTCCACGTCCAGGTGGCCTGCCTCTCCTCCGAGGGAGGCCAGCTGGCACACCCAGAGCTGGCTGTGACACAGCAAAACAATCTGTTCCGTTCAGAGCCAGGCCCGGGAGCCAGGGATGTTGCTGGGACCTGAGCGCCTGGCCCTCCCTCGCCCCGACGCGGGCGCAGAGAAACACCGCTCCCATTGTTCCTGCTCCTGACAGGACCAGACAGGACCGCCCCAGCCACAGCTGTGTCGAGGATCCCTGGCAGGACTCAGGCCTTTCTGAGGCCCGGCTGCCCAGCTGCCGCCCCAGGTACCTGTGGGAACGGCCTCTGCACAGCCCCGAGCCGGAATCTCGAAGCAGGCAGGAGCCAGACTGCCCGGGGCTCAATCCCGGCTCGGCGGCTTCCTGTGCTACTTACTTCTTGATCCCCTCACCCAGAATATGGGGATAACGGCAGGGCCTACCGCTAAGGCCGCTGGGCAGAGGATAGGAGTTAATATGGGCAAAGTGCTAGAATGTCTGCCCTTGCTACGCATCCCACTTTACTAAGCACTTCCCATGTAGTAACTTATTTGATCCTCACTAAAACCCTATGAGGTAGACAATATCACTATCCCCACTTTGCAGATGAGGAAGCTGAGGCATAGAGAGGTTATAAAACGTGCCCACGGTCACCGTCCCAGTTAAACACCAGAGGCTATGCTCTAACCGCTGTGCTGTTCTGCCTCTCTCATGGGCAATGTCATTTAATGTCAGCTATTACTGTCATGCTAGCAGCCCCCCCCTCAGCCCCACCCCCAACCCTGTCTCTCTGTCTGCCTTCATCAGCTCACTCCTTCCTGAGGCAGCCTGCCCCCACTGGGCTGCGTGACAACAGAAAAGGTTCCTGCCCTTAGGATGAGCCAAAATCAGCCTCCTGGCACCTTCTGCCCCTTGCTTTTCACTTCGCCCTCTGGAGACACTCGCAACGATCTCCCTTTTCTACACGACGTCTCTTCCATACATGGACCCCAACATCCCCTTTTCCTAGAACCCCTGTCAGAGCAGCAAAACCAGGAAAAAGCACCTCTGATGAGCTTCGCTCAGCTCAAGCCAAAGGCTCACAGACACAGCAGGGCTCCTCAACCAACATGCTCAACATGCTCTGCTCAAGTGAAGCCAAGTAACCAGGCAAGCCGTGATTCACCTCCTAGCACTCAGTGCCCACAAACACCAAGGAGCCGCAGCCTTCCCGCCGGCCGGTGGGCACAGGCAGGGCCGACACCCACGTGGCCTGGGGACAGGCTGGCAAGGGCGGGCTGGGGGTCATGTTCACACAAGGGGAGCAAGGACTCACATGCCGATCGGGAGCTCCCCTGGCAGCCGGGGTCTGCTCCAATGGGCTGCCCGGGACCAGAGAAGTGGGAGAGGTCCGAGGCCACGCTAAGCAGGATCAGAGCTCTGGAGAGGTTCCGTGGAGCAGGCAGAGCAACCATGTGTTTGGGGACTGACTTCACTAGCGTTCAGGTCAAAGAATTCTGCAGGTCAAACCATCCTGCTGTCATGGTCACTGCTGCTGCTGTCTTGGGGGGCATGTGGCTCCTTGCATGTTGAAGGATGTGATAAGGAATCACATAGGGCAACGGGATTCAAAATTCCAGACACGACACGGAAAAAGAAGATTAAGGAGTCCAAGAAGACAGGAGGGGACGAGACGGAGAATTAAAAATCACAGAAGGTGGGACCCAAATCTGTAGTAGGAGACAGGCACGTGACCAGAACAGGCCTAGTGTGGAAGGGTGGTAGGGAGGAAGCTGAATATCGGATCCCTTCTAGAGAGACACCTCCTAACTCTGGGGTAAGGCTAGGGTTGCTGGATACTCAGGGCTGTCCCCTGCTATCCTGAAAGTAGTTATCACCAGTGCAGGCAGGAGCCACAGAGCTACCGTGACGATCCCCTTCCTGGCCAAATGTATACAGTTGGTACTCAGTAAACGCAAACTTCAGTCAAAATGAATGAGCGCGTATGTAGTGGTGTGGAGTCCGTCTGGGTACCGAGGGCCTTTGCACAAATCCCACACACTTACATTTTCAACCCTGGTTAAAAAATGGAATCACCTGGAGAGCTCTTAGGCTCTTAAGGACAGGTCCCGACCCGGGCCAACTGGGTCAGAATTGGGAGGAAGGCGGGTAGGGTGAGGGGATGCCAGGGCTACAATATGTTTTTTAAAGGCCTTTATGGGGGTGCCTAGTTAAGCGTCTGACTCCTGACTTGGGCTCAGGTCATGATCTCGTGGTTCATGAATTCAAGTCCACTATAAGGCTCTGAGCTGGTGGCAGGGAACCGGCTTGGGATTCTCTCTCTCTCTCTCTCTGTTTCTCTCTCTCTCTCTCTCTCTCTCTGCTTCTTCCCTGTGTGCATGCATGCTCTCTCTCTCCCCCAAAATAAATAAGCTTAAAATAATAATAATAATAATAATTATATTAATAATAATAATAATAAATAAAAGGCCTTTATGTAAAGGCGATGAGCAATCGGCGATGAAAAACCACTCCTCCAGACCACCATTGATGATGTTGGTCCATAAATGGTAAGAGATGAGTCTTAGATATTCTAGAAGGTCACTCTAAAAACTCAAACTTTCAAATAGGGCAGAAAACCCTAAACCTAAGCCACATCAACCCTCAAGAGAGTCTTGGGCCAGCTTGTCCTATCACACTGCCTTAATTTCCCCACCAGTCAAATGGAGCAGACACCTCTCCCTGACAAGAACCAAATTCTGGCATTTGCACAGAATAAGGAAGACTCCAAAACTTAGGTAAGGTACCTAGGAAAGAGCAAAAATTTGCTTTGGCAAAAAACTCTCTGGCCAGTAGCCTATTTCCAGGAATATGTGATGTAACTCAAGACTCCATCACCTCTTTAGCATTGTTCTTAACAAGACCCGACCTATGGTGACCAGTAAACAGGGAAACACACTGGAGGAGACTGACTTCACCCCACCCTTCACTATTCCACCCAACCACCTGTTTATTCACCACCCATCTCCTCCCCATCTAGCTACCTCCCCATATACCATCCATCCATCCATCCATCCATCCATCCATCCATCATCCATCTATTCTCCATTTCCCCATCTACCCCCATCCATCCATCCATTCATCTATCCATCTATCCATCTTTCCATCCTCACTCCTCCTGCTTAATCCACCATCCATCCATCCAT